CTCATTGGCCATCCCCGATGTAGAAGCTGGCTAAGAAGTGCCGTACCAGAAACACGTTGACTATGGTATCGTACGCTGTTAGTGAATACAGTCCACGTACACCTACTGTTCGGTATTCGCAGACGGGCATCCACCAAATCGGCGTACCTATCTGTGAGTTTGTTGCCGCTGCAAGGTACTTGGACCCTCGTCGTGACGGCGTGTCTTGTTTCGCTGGTCATGCAGTCGAAGCTCTCCATAATACGGGGTACGCAGCGAGGCACGTTGCATACAGCAGAGCGAGCCGACTGGCTGCCCTTTGGAATTGTAAAGTTGTAGTGTTCATGCGTATGGAGCCCAGAAACCATCAGATCGTGATCGCTTCACTGGCTCAGAGAAAAAGTCTCTGTTTCACGGGTGTCCCTTTCTGATGTTCTTCTTTTAGTGGCGGCTCTGTATCCTTCTTCCCGCTTTTTCGTGTTCCCGCAGGAAGTTCCGTTCTCCACGCGCATCAAGTGCTTGTTTCTTTCGTCCAAGGACTTTGGACGGCCCGGCGTGTGATGTACCTCTTGGCTCGATCTGACGTGCAACGGTACATTGCGTGTCTGAGGCAGCCCGCACCGAGGCCGTAGAGGTTTCGAGCGGCCGCTGCATGAGCCTACGCGATATACTCACCACGAGCATGCTTCTTGCCTGTTCCCTGGTCGATTCCTTACATAAGGCGGAATGGTTGGTTGTACGTCGATGCCATCTTGAACTTATTAGCTAACAAGGCGTCGTTATGATGCAATTTTGGCACCGCAGTGTATATCGGGTACAGACGGACGCAACAGAATAGGATGCTCAAATAATGGCTTCAGCACATGAGCAAGGGCTCTAGAGTCAAGGCCCAGGACGGCATGAAAGAGGCACCGGGGCCGATGGGGTGAGCTGATGACAGAATGGCGAAAATGATGCATCGCCGTGGCTCGACGACAACTGAGCCCCCTCGTTCGCGTCAGACCTGGCTCTTGTTAGTCCTCGCATGGCCAGTCACCTGGTCACACCTCACATCGCTCGCACCTTGTCCTCGGCTTCCAATAGGCGAAGCAGGCAGCTTGCAGCCTGTGTACCATCTTGTCATCCTGTGTCCAACAGGTAAGTACTGTAGTGTAGGTACTCCGTGCAGAGGTGCAGAACAGAACACCAGGGCCGCCCAGTCCCCTTGTCGATCGTCTCAGAAAGGGTCCTTCTTCTGGTGGTGCCTCTAGGAGTGTACTCCGGTAGGTGTTGGGATGCCCTCCTTGCAGCTGTACCTGGCATTCTGGCATTCTACATAGTTTCCATCATGTAATGGTGGATGCTTGGCCACCATCCAAACACACCCAAGTACTCCAAGGACGGCATCCGGTAGATTCGTAATTGCAGCCACGAATTCACCATTCACCGTTCACCGCTGCTGTTTTGGAAAGTGTAGGTACCTTGGGAATACTCTAGTAGATACGTACTTACGTACTCACGTAAGGTACTCCGCACTGCACGTGTGATGCCTTACATAATTCAAGCCCGAGAACGTCGAGAAGGAAGGAATGAATGTACGTAAAGGAAAGTACGAAGAGAAGTGCCTACCTTACATTGCGAAGCACCCTTGGGTACAAGGCGACGCGGGCAGGTTGGCACTGAGGTCAGGTAGACACGGCAGGCAGGGCAGGTACTGAGGAACTTTGGCTTCATCCCCAGACTTCTCTCTCGGCAGCATCGTGCATCAACCTCTGCTTCTCTTTGGACTTCCCCATATTTGCACTATTAAAAGCCCTGCTTGGTCTTTGGCGGCTTTGCCCTGGTCCGCACATCCCCCTCGTCTCGCTAAGTAGTGTAGTCTCTCCTGACCACAAACTGCGTACTTCGTACCCACCAGCGTCCACGCACGCAACGAGCTCTTCTGACTTCTCAACTTCTCACAGACCGACGACAAGGGTCCCGGGTTACCCTTCTGGGTACGAGTGAGCCGCCCGCAGAGAGGGACTCAGACAGGCTTCCCCTGTCCATCGCAGGCCTGCAATCCTCCCCACTGTGAGGTGCAAAGTGCAGATACTGAAGCCTGGTTTCTTTGATGCCATAATCCCCGTGACTACGAGAAGGCAACGGCGATATAAACCTCGGACCCCGATCTGGAATCTCGATCTGAAAAGAAAGGCAATTTTTCCTTCGCTAGCGAACCCGTTTTCTCAACCACGTCAATAAGTCGGTGAAGAATTTAAGAGAAAAAAACCCCCCGACCAGCGGCTAGACAAGAAACGAAGACGGGGGGACGGAGAAAAAAAAAAGATATTGCGCAAGAAGACATTTTCCAAAGGAATTCCATACCATATTAGCTCGGGATACGAAAAAAGACACGGCTGCATACACATTACACACAGACTTCAAAGAACGACATTTTATTCTCCGGTCTCATACGCAAGAGCCAACCCGCCAGTCCTCATACAGAAGCAGCGGCTATCCAGCAAGAGGCCAGAGAGCTCATTCCTAGCCTTGCAGCCCTTGCTTCCCACCGCTTCGTTTGGACACAAGCAGATCAAGACCCTCACGCCATACCCTTCTTAGCACGAGAGGGTTCATCAGGGTGTCTGGTCTCCGGTCGTCGTTACTACTCGGTACACCTGTAACCACACACAATTACAAGCTACAGCACCCATACCCGTACGGTTTGGGTGGCATTCTCGCTGCTGTCATCGGCAGAGTTGAGACGACGGACGAATCGGCGGCGCTTGATCCATCTCATAAGCTGGAGGTCCGTCCGCACCACAACATCTCCGCTTTCGGCGAGCCCACGGCCCTGCCTGTCCTTGCGTCAATCCGAGGTACCTTGCGTCTTTGCGGCTTGTCTGGGTACCGGGTTGAAAAATTTACAGAGGGTACGGATAGACAAGGGGAGAGAGAGAGAAAAAAAGGATATCCATACATCAACTTGCAAGGGAGTGACAAGTAAGGACGGCAACGGAAAGAGTCACACTCGATCGGGCTCCATTCATTCAGCAAGAGAAGAGCCATTGAACACTATTCGAAGAGTCAAACCAACCGTCTGCGGGACTACATATATTTCTCGGCTCCAATTCTGTCCCGCTTCCAGGAGCCTCATCTGTCGCCAACTGCTCTCTTTCTTTTTCCTCGCCTTGACATTTCCTCGGCAATCTCGTCTTTGACTGAGTGATCACTACGTCAGTCTGGCTCTATTTCGTCTCAATCCACTTGAGGATCCGTCGTCCCTTCTATCGAGCACCTAGAAAGGGCAAACTACCTCACACTCACACACCTGCTGCTCGGCTTTCGCCTTGCTGATACACAAATCGCATCTCTCTTTCGCAAATTCCCACCCCCGAACGGAAGACGGACAACGGGCCAATTTGGAGCTAGCCAGCGCTGGTCCCCGCACTCGCTCTCGACTCTGGCGTCATCGTGCTTCCTAGGAGCTGTTTAATTAATTCCTCGAGAGATCGAGGCCGCAGCAAACATTTTGCTGCACCTAGCAGAGTACCTCCTAGTTCCGACTGTACCTAAACTTGACCTGCAGACCCCGGTTATCCCTGGAGCGAGAAACAAACCCACGCTGGTACAAGTCAACCCCGGTCTCTCACTCTCCATCACTCTACACTAAGCCTGGAGACTCAACCCGCGCACACCTCTCTGTCACTGAGTCTGAGTCTCTCACACCATCCACCTCGCCGGGTCTCACCAAAGATACCTACCTAGCACGGTAATAGCAACCGTCAGCGCAGGTACTCTTCTCAGTCTCTCCTCAGCCGAGCTAGCCCTCTCAAAAAAAAACACATCCGGCCAATCCTTCCTGCAAGCTTGCAGCACCACATCAGGCCTGCTTGGACTGGCGGCACGCTTCTTTTATTCCCTTGACCTCCCATCCCATCTTGTCCTATCCCGCCCTGCCTTGGACACACCTCTCTTCTCTCTCTCAGTGTCTCTCATTCCTAGACTTGTCTCTTGCATTAAAAACTTCCGACTGGCCTGATAGGAGGAACACGGGCTCTCTCTTTCAAGTTTTCATCTGGAGCATTGTATCAGTCACGGCCACGGCGACGGTCACGGCCACAAACCCGCACCACAACCCATCCATCAGCCATCCATCGCCCACGGGCAATCCATCACTTATCAGCTCTCGGCCAAATATACATACATATCCACTCCCACACCCCCCAGCCAAACCCGCCGCTATCTTTCAATCCATCACCAAGACGCCTTAGCTACTAGAAATAAGGCATACCACATCAGGCGTCCCCTGCACATTGCGATAGCTCGAGACCCTTCTTAATCCTCCCAGCACCCGCTCTGACCTGCGGGGGAAGACCAACGACCGGAGAAGAAGAAAAAATCTCTTCAGCGGGCGGACAAGACACACGGAGTCACAGCCGACGACCACCACTCTAACCTACCTTACCACCACTACCTACCTTACCTGTTCGTTCACTCAGCCCAGGGCTTCGAATTTGCCACTCGGAACGCGTGAAAGCAGGGACCAATTTCCTGCATTCCCATACAAGGCCACCAACAGGCAGTCTAGATTCACATCTCACCGATTGTTGCGAAAAATTTTCACTGTTGCAGAAGAAAAGGGTTCGGAAATCTTCTTCCCTCGTCCGACGCTGCTTCACCCATCGCCTCTGCCAAACCCGACGGCCGAGACAGGACGGACGTTCGCAACTGCAGTGGCACTACACGCTGTTGTTCGTCAATCATCGCTTCTTGGGGGAATAGAACGGCGCTACCCCTCCACCAAACCCGCCCATTCCCCGCTTATCTGGTCCCGCCGTCCATCCGCCGATACAGGCACCACAACACAGCCAACTGAGACTGAGGACTCGGAAACTAACTGTGAGCGTGAGCTGCGAGAGTCTGAGCGATAGACTACAAGAAGAACCCCTGCCAACCTCGTCGCATCGTTGGCTTGTTGTTTTCTTCTCTCGATCTTCCCCTTCCTCAGATCCCTTTCTCTCAGTCGTACATACATACGCCAAGAGAAAGACTTCACAATGCATCACAGCCGCAGAAAGTCGGGCAACACCTCCATGACGGAGAAGACTGTCACAGCTACCGATCCCTCCCGCTACGGCAAGCGTCCTTCAACTCTGACCAGACGCCAAACTCCCCAGAAGTTGGGCAAGAACCCCAGAGACCGGGAACGGGAACGGGAACAGCAAGACTCGTGGGACGATGAACGGGAGAGTTTCCCTCAGTTCTGGTAAGTTTCCTGCCACAGTTTTTTATCTTTTCTTCTTCACTATTCCCATCTGTCGTGTCTCCCTCACTCTCATTCCCACTCTCACTCCCCGATCTGGACATGAGTGCTTCCTCAACGCCGCCATGTTCTGGATTGTCAACCCCGCAACAAGCTGTCTTGCAACATTGTCCGTCATCCAATCTTTGTTGCAGATTGTCATCCCGTTCGGGAGGTCTGCAGTGTCACGATGAACGCCCACTGTAGTGCGCGTTGCTATTCTTCCGATGGGTGTCTACGCACTCAAGTTCCCGTTCGAGCCATTGTTCCCACCCTATTGACCGAACAATTCGCTGACTGGGCCGTGTGATCTAGCATGACTTGCGAAAAGCAATTCGTACCTCAAGATGACAGGTTCCTGTACTGCTCAGAATCGTAAGCTGCCACTTCCAAGTGAATGTCCCTGAGCGAAAGGAGTGACTTTACTGACACTACGCAGATGCCGCAAGCATGATCAACAAACTGCATCAACTGGCAGGACTATGAGCCAACCGCACATGGGCAACTACCCTTTCTACGCCGCATGCAACCCCGAGCCCAGAGACATAGTTCCTCGTGCGTCCCCCTCAAGGCCGAACTCGATGCACTTCTCGCCGCCCACGACACCAGGTGCCACCTCCGGCGCGCAATACTCGTCCGCCATCTCCGCGTTGAGGTCACTCAGCATCCGACCCCCAAGCCCGCCGTCCCCCACATCGTCGCACGCCAGCATCTGGCCATTTACCAAGAGCAGCACCAACAGCCCCAGCACTTCGTACAACCGCGGCAGCAACAGCTTTTTCCCGGCCACGTACGACGGAGGCTACGCAGCGAATGGCTACGCCTACAACTACAGCTCCAGCGGTATGGACCGGCCGCTACCGACACGGAGACCCACTGGGCCGGGCTACTCAAGGCCGAAAAGCATCGAGTTGGTGACGCCCATGGTCGGTCGCTAACACCGTCAGACGGGGACTGTGTCGGGAGGCTGCATCACCATTCAACTGGTTCAGCCACCCATTACACAACCGCACGGGGAGGACTGACACCTCGTCACCCCACGGGAATGACGGTGTGTGTGCGCTCAGCGGGTTCGATGGGTCTTCCCTCTCGTACTCGCCTGTATAACCCCAGCCCCAGAGCGCGGGGTTAGCGTCGATTTCGAACACCGGAAAACGCGGGGGCAACCACGGAGGTAATGAGCCGGCAAGGGGATATGATCCATCTCTAGCTTTCTCTCTCAGAGTGGCCTTCCGGGTGTCACCTTTCCGACTCATCCGCACACCTCATTCACCAGCCTTTACCTCCTCTGCTGCCCCCCGCAAATCAACCCCACGAAAAATGAAGCATGGCATCTCGGCAGAGAGACTAGCATTGCGCCTTGTGGGGGCTTCATTTGCGCATTTACGATTGTTTTTTGGCACTGCGAAACGCCATGGCTTCGGTCATGTGAGGGAGGGGAAATTCGGGCAGGATCACAAAAAAGTTGGGGGTTGCATTGACATGGGGCATGGGCATTAATGGGCATCTGGTAAAGCGATTTGGGGATGGTTAATCCTGTCTTGGTTTTGCAGCGAAACCCGTTTGGTTCACCCACGCCTTACCCAACGAAAGCACACGGAGGTTTCTACGAGATACTCCGTGTTGCGGGTTTGGAAGGTAGTTCCTGACGGGGGTTTACTGTTGTTGTTTTCATCATCTGTTGTCACAACTCTCTGTTTGGGCAACATTATCATCTCACATGACGGGTTCTTCAAAGGCCATCTGAGCATACATAGAAGGACAAAGCATCTACGGAAATCGGGAATAGCTAGCTAGCATCAAGGGCATCACGGATCTAGTATTCGGGCGCGCATTTCACATACTCTTTTTCAACCCAGAGGAGGTACATGGCGGATACAGTACTCCCCCTCCTCTCAATGGGAACAATATCATATTCTTTCTGAAAATACCACTTAGCATCAATGTGTAGCCAGCGGGTTATTCGACCGATGAATTGAATCAATCATGTATACTTGACATATCGCAACTGTGTGAGAAATCGCGTCGAGCTGACTGTCAATCGATCGGCGCCGCCGAGTTCAATGACGGAAAGCCGAGGTGAATAGGATGGGACACCTCGGAGATGGGGGAAGAATGAGCAAGGTAAGGACCCCAATCGTCCGACCCACAGACGCCAGACCTCTTTGGACCTCACGATATGCAATGTTGCTCCCCCAGACGTAGCATGTCGATCACTGGTTCTTTTTTGACTGTATGGTGCGGTCTTCCCCGGATCGTGAAGTGGACGGGCGGGGCCTGGCGATGTGCGACACTGACTCGAGGAGTCGGGAGTCGGGGAGTTTGCCAGCGTATCACTCTATCAGTACAGGTGAAGCGGGCGAGTTAGGGACAGACAGGAAAGAGAGACGCGCTCGACGCGAGACTTGGGAGGTGTGACGACAGAGGGATCGGATTCCCGCGGATGGACAAGTCTGGGAATGCCGTGATAAGAGGATCGACTTGTGTGATTGGGGAGATGTTCTGTCTCTTGCCTGCCTTGCCTTGCGCCTCGCCTCGCCTTGCTTCCTTCTCCCCCGCGGGGGCGTCAGTTTGGGCGGCTTTCGGCAGGCAGAGTGCAGACTGAGGTACCTGCTCAATGCTGTTTGGCTGTGCAGGTCACGGATAATGATATACAGGATGTTGGGGTTACAGCAGGATCTCGATAGTAAATGGCACACACCGTGGACAGACGGCCAATGGAATATGCGCGTACATTGATTCGAGGTTCCAGACCATCATTATCAAGGGAGGACGATCTTGCTGTGCCGCTTCGCTTGTGGTTTTCTTTCGCTCACTTGAGTCTAGAACTTTTTTTTCGAGGTCGGGTTTATGGTTTACGGGTGCAAGTGAAGGATTCTGTTGATTGCTGTGTGTTACACAGGCGCTTGGGGATGTCAAGCGAGTGAGAGCGAAGGAGTAGATGACTTTGTCAGCAATTGATCCCTGGGTTCGATTTTGTCCGTCCAGTAATAGTGCGGCCGTTCGAGTTCACTGGCCTTTTCAGGGCATTCATATTCCCTTCTTACCATCCTCCTGGATAAGACCGTTGAATGAAGTCCCATTCCGTGTCATTTTCGCGTTCCAGGCTCATGTTTTCCCGGCGGGCGCGGGAGAATTACGGCAGTGGGCTAGCGGCTGATTGAATATGCGCTGAGTGGGGGTGTTTCTTCATCTTGGGTTTTGGTCTCCATGGATCGTGACATTCCGGCAGGGCGCCAGCATCACTTCGGTTCGAATGGGGCCGAGGCTAGTGATGCTTGGTCGAGGCCGGGGCATTTGATGACGTTGGCGGGGATTGTGTACGTGCCAGCGTGGGCGGGCAGGTATATTCTCGGCAGTGGGAGTTCTTGGGGTTCTAGGGGGTTCTATCACAGAGACATGACATTTTTGGAGTGGCTGTCTCGTTCACGATATTTGATTCGATGATGGATCCAAGTGAGGCTGTTGTTCTCTTCCGAGTCATGTGCTTAGGCTCGTGATGGGGGGGACTTTGTCTTGTGAGACGGCGGTGATGGAAAGGTGTGAATGGGTATCGTAATGGAGGTTGAATGGTTGAGCGATGACGGATGGTCTGGGAACGAGTTGAGGTCTCGTGATAGAGGCCGATGATGGCGGAGCTTTGAAGGAGGTGGGGGGGGGGGGGGGGGGGGGGGGGGAGGGGGGGGGGGGGAGGAGGCCGGGCGGGGGGGGGGGGCAGGAGGGGGGGGACAGAACAAGGGAGGGGGGGGGGGGGGGGGGTGGGGGGGGGGGGGGGGGGGGGGGGGGGGGGGGGGGGGGGGGGGGGGGGGGGGGGGGGGGGGGGGGGGTAAAAGGTAAGGTAGCTAGGCCACCGTCTTGACCCGGAGAGATATGCGACGACGACGATGACGAACCAATGGGTAGGCGACGATGGTCCCAAGTGGTCGGAGCGAAAGGGCGAGGGACCAAAGCAAGGGCGGTGAGCTTAACGCAGGTTCCAGTATTCCGTACGCTGTGAAATGATGTGTGTGAGACTATGTGTGTGTGTGATGCCGGATTCCGGGACTAGTATCACGCAAGTCAGGCACGTAATGTAGGTACGGTGCGGCGGAATGCTCCAAGGTGGGAACACTTTTTTTTCATCTTCTTCTCTATTGAGGTGAGGTGAGAGAAGGTGTGTGTAGGTGTACGCAGGTGTGAGTGGGTGAAAGGAGTGTGATGAGTGAGTGAGTGAGTGGTCTTGGTTCGGGGCTGGGGCTGGGCAAAGGTGAGCATGATCGGGTCAGGATACGGGGTGTTCGAGGCGAACCTGACCGATGAGTGGTGGTGGTGGTGAGGATGCGGCGGCTGAAGCGCACTTGACGCCGCGGCCGCGTGAGCGATGATGGTAGCGTGTATTCCGTAGAGGGGGGTCTTGTGCTAGTGTGATGAGATGGATTAGATTGTGCGTGATTGTGTGAGATGACGTGAGGCGCGGGGCACTTTGAGTCGTGTTTGTGAAGTGCGTTCCATTGTGTTCCTGCTTAGGCACCCAAGTAAGTCAGGCGAGTAAAGTACCTACCTCTCAGGTTATCTGGCTGGGTGTTGTTCGGGCAGATTTGCCCAGTCATCACGATGTTCTTAGTGGATGGGCTAAGGTGCAAGTGGTGGTTTTCCCTTGGTGCTGTGTAAGTAGATAAGATTACTTTAGTAGGTTCTCTCGGTGATAGGTGGGATAGGAAAGGACTGGCGTGGTTGGTCTACGTCTGTAACTAGCTGCGGGATGTTATAGATGCGAGATAGGGTAGTCTCGGTTTATCGTATAGTACGACGCGACTGTACCGGCATTCCTATACCATAAGGTAGGTGGGTAGGTAGACTTATTGGAGGGGCTGGAAAAGCGGAAAGGCAACTCGAGCAAATGATACCGGCGATTTGAAATACGTGTCGCAAGGTGTTGCCATTCGGGAGGGGGGAACAATAGAACCAACTCTCGGGATGTGATGGGCCTGTCGGGGTATGATTACAGAGTCTCATTTCGGGATCTGGTCCTCGACGATACCACCATGTTATGGCCTGCCTGCCATGCACTTGCGGCACACTCGCCTGACTCTTTTGGCCGGCTCTGCAGGTTTGCCGCGATTTTTGGAAGGTGTTGCTTCTCCCTGGGCGAGGGGGGAAGATCGGCCGGGTGTGGAGAAAAAAGGACAAATGTCGGCGATGCCGGTGTTGTTCGGGGTGGAGTCCGGGTCCCCGGTCTTTCTCTCTTCCTCTCTCGGCGGTCCGGGGGGGATGGAGGGTGGGGGTCGTTTTTCTCTCTCCTCTCCCACGAGTCTGGGTCTGACCATCCGATGCTGGAGACTGACTCTCATCCTTGTTCGAGCGCTACCACCTATCGCGATGAAATATCGGGAAGGTTATATTGACGGCGGTGTTATCGTCGCTGATTTCATGGAATGGGGGTTTCACCTTTTCCCATCCAGCGCTGTTTCCGAGAAGCGTCAGTGTCGTGCATGAGTGCATGGTGGCTTTCTAGGTGGGCCGATGATCGCTCTGCTGGTTTCTTAATCATGTTTTTGGGGGCGAGAGAAGGGCCATGGACGCCGATCTTCGAGATAGCGGCTCCGTGGTAAAGACTACATATGAGGGTGGCATCGGAGTAAACTCCGACTTTCTCATCTGCTCGCCCTTTGCGGATGTCCGATGCCGTCATGGCGTTGAGACAGGTAACCCCCCCTCCCCAAACTCTTACCATCATCTCTTGAGTCATGTATGGCATATTGCTGGTTTTCACATGGCTAGAGGTGTCCGCGGTATGGTAGAGTCGGACATCATTGGGTACTGACTTCTCCGTTGCCGTGTACTAGTGAGCAGCTGAGTATCGGTCGACGAGCGCGCATTTACTCGCTCGGCTTGCCAATCGTTTTCCCTCTGATTCAATCTTCCTTACACTGCTATGCTCAGTACTTAATACATACGGACAATGATGGGACAGCTTGCTAATTGTGGTCGCACACACAAAGTTCGCGATGGATATGATGACTCTTCGAATCTTACAAATCCCATCAAACCTGTATACGACTGACAAAGTCATGCTCTGAGAGGTCGTCATGTTACGTCTATTTCTGCTAGCAGGTAATTCCTGTGCAGCTGACCCACGACCGCCACCAATGATAGACAAGTCCAATCCAATCAAAATTTGACAATCTGAGAGGAACCGTCCCATCAATGAGCCTCTCAGCCTAGCCTCGAAGGTGTTGACATGTGTCAAGCTCGCCGTGGGCCTCAAGTGAGAAAGTCATCACCTTTTCCTTTGAAGGAGTGTCTAGCAGTTGAAAGCGTACTAGCTGCTCGGAAGTTGACTCCTCGAACCCTTGCGCTCAGCGCCAGATCATGAAAAAGGGAAGTAAGAGGGATGAGAGTTCGAATCAATTCCTGTGACGCGATGGTTCGTGGATTTCTCTGGCTGCTTCGCGCAGTATTAATCCTCGAAGCCCCTTCAATAGGTTAGCTCCAGAATCCATGACAAATTCCAACAGCCATTCAATCAGATTGCTGCTATTGCGTTCGTGGACTTTGATTATTCCTAACGTGTCGTTGGTTTACGCGAATGCTTTGGCTCATCTCTCTGGTGTCAATGGGGCGAGTTTTGTCGGCGTGCGTGTAGGAAGGTTGCGAAAGTCTCTCTATCTTGCTCTCTTCTGCTCGCTCTATCCTATTCTGAGTCCTTCGTGCAGTATTCTACGGCTGAATAATCACCTGGCAGTGTTAAATCACAAGGTAACGATTGAACGTATAGACAAAGCCGGGACTGTTTACATGCTGCACTTATGAACGATGTCTTCGAGGCCACCATTGCACCGGGAGGAGCCCAATAAGAGGCAAGACATTTAGGTTGTTGTGTTCAAGTCTAAAGTTTGGACTTATCCCGTACGATTCAGTACTCGTGCTCCAGGCAGACGGCCGGTGCTTGAGGCGCTGGCCACGTCAAGAGGTAGATCCCTCTCCTGTATAAATTACTCAGTATGAAAAAAATCATCTACCCAGTTTCCACCTGAAATCACCCAAATTGGGATAATATGGATGCGGCAAGTCACACCGATCATCATAGGTTGACACCGTCTCAACTCAAGCTATAACCGAACTATTTATCTGCTTTGCGATGTAAGTCTATCCTCTTTGCGATCATACCATATGCTCATGGCTCTAGATCCGTGGTTCCAATCATAATCCTCGCAGGCTTGTAAGTCTGCACTGATCTTGAAACAAAGCGATATTGTCGGTTCTCGGCGGCAACGTCAAGTTCCACTTGTGCATGGCCAGTAGGCAGCGTACAGCCGTGTGTTGCATAAGACTCACCGCCTTAATCATGAGGAATTTCAATTCATCAGCAATGGCTCAGCGGTGTGGCGTACACGTTGTTTGTTACGAGGGGTTACTCAGTGACTCTCGTAAGTTGCTCTTGAACGATGTTACAGTCAGACTAGTTGCATGGAATTACTCCATTCTACATCCCTTGACGCCTTCCATGGTAAAGAACGCACTGATGCTGCCCATCTAGAGTTGCACATGTGCGGGAAACTTCGAGCTCACGTCCATCAGTTGTTTGTTGCGGGCCATAGTTCGATCTCTGCGTGCAACAGGTAAATTTCCTAGCTTCAAGAAACCAATATACACTCACATTACTGCATCAATGAATAAATAAGCCTTGTTTCGTCTCAGGATATCCCATTAGCTGTTAATTCATGGTATCTCTTAACCAGCTCTTGCGTTTGCTCCTCTCTCAATATGTCTGGCCAAACTGCAGAAGTGGTTCAGCCGAAGAGTCAACAAGATTCCGACCAGCAAGAGTCTACATGCCCAAGCTTAGACGATACTGTTGAGGCTCTCCAGAACCAACCTCCAGTGCCTGATGTTTCCAGTCAAGATACATCAACGCAACTGTTTCATCTCCACGAGAGCCACCCCCATCAGACAGATGTTTTGCCATCTCCTTCTACCATCTCTGCCAATACCCAGCTTCAACAACACACAGGCTCCTCCGTTTGCTCGGCGGGGGGTCTTGAAATCGACCAAGAGCCTGCAGCTGCAAGCATACCTGCTTCTCACACACGTCAAGAGCCAGCGATCGACGACGGCGCCATACTCAGTCAAGGGTGTCTCATATCTGCGGAACAACCCTCACTCGCATGCGCTGAATCGAGAGGCGAATCTCAGACTTCAACGGCACCGAGAGTATATGGCCCATTCTGGAGGGTCTGGTGGAAAGAGATGCTCTGCATCGTGGTCAGCATCGCTTCATTCGTCGGTAAGCAAGCGCGAGAGGGGATGAGGCAGGCGAACTCCACCTTGTAGATCTTTGACTAATGCCTTCTATGGAGCACTTCAGCAATCGTTGTAATTATTGCCTCTTATGATGGTCATTCGCTCCCCAAGTGGCCTCTCAAAATCACGCTCAACACACTCCTCGCATTTTTCACGACGTTAGCGAAAGAAGCCTTCATGCTACCAATGTCAAGTGCCTTGAGTCAGTTCAAGTTCACCTGGTTTATGAAACCAAGACCTCTCTATGACTTTTATGTCTTTGACCAAGCAAGTAGAGGTTTGTTGGGCTCCATGAAATTGTTGAACCGGCTGCGACTCAAGCACACAGTCACTATTGGCGCCATTTTAATGGTTATCAGCGTTCTTTCCTCACCAGTAACTCAATTGGCCATCAGTTATTCTACAATCAATGCAACCGCTGCTGGGGAGCAGGCTAAGATTTTCACTATCAACGAAGTCAACCTGGATAAGTACAAGTTGGCTCATGTGGTAGAAATTGCGGCGTTCAAGGCCACGATACCGGATACTGGGAACTTCGACGTCCCAGCTCCTCCACAGAAAGCATTGTGCTCCACTGGAAATTGTGACTTCAATCCCTATCAGTCGCTAGGCGTTTGTGTGGCCTTTGCTAACATAACTTCAAAACTTCGGATTGGAGTGTTGACGAACGTGACGGTGGATGTAGTTGGGGGCGGTATCGGCAGGCTGGCCACCGGCCTGAACACATGGAAGGCTAGTCTCTCGGACAAATACTTCTTTCTTCACCAGAATCCACTGGCCGTTAAAGGCGAAGTATTGGACGGGATTGATACCTTCGGCTTCTTAAACAACACCGATCTTCTCAGTACAAGAATCGCCTCGTTCTTCCTCATCTACACTTCTCCGCTACCACCAAATGGAACTAGCGTCAACTTGAGTGACTCAGATGATGCTCAAAGTATGATCCGCTCAATCTCAGACTTCACACACGAGGCACGCGAAGTCATGTTCCATATCTGCGTTCAGACATTCGAGACAAAAGTTCGCCAGGGGGTGGAAGAGACCTTTATAACCGATACTTCACTGAAATCAGATGACACAAGCAAAGGAATCGTCTTGAGGCCCAATTGTACACAATTGGAACGAGAATCTGAGACTTGCGACCTGCCGAAAGAACAGGGCGACTTACTTCTCCAAATCACAACCCCGAATACTGGAACGAAGAAATTTAGTGCCTCTTACGCGTCCATGCAGAGCATAGCAAGGGGCCTATCTTACTTACTTGAAGGGGAAGAAGAATTACCGATTAAACGAACTGGGCTCGTTTGGATTGGTAACTTTGCACGGACCTGGTTCCGAGATGTACTCTACACCAACCAGGATATCTTCAATTCTACGCGGCGAGCGACTCATCTTGACAACTTCTTCCTAGACATTGCTACCCACATTTCATCTGAGTAAGTCCTAGTCTATATTCGTACCACGTTACTGACTGGAAATGACAGTCTACGAACGGCCCATCACCAAGCCAAGAGATCAGGTGCGGTCATTATCGAGGGAACTCCCTTGAGAGAGATTGCGTACGTTCACATCAAGTGGGGATGGGTTTCTTTCCTCGCCGTCGAGGTTGTAGCGGCGACACTATTCCTCATCATGGTCATTACCACCCAGAGTGTAGCGTCTCGGCAACAAGGAATGGAAGATGTCTACGTCCCAGCTGATGTCAAGGACTCGGCTCTGGCAAATCTTGTCGTTCTCAGCAACGATTGCCGCGAAGCCTTGAGCGATGGTCTACAGCCGGCAGATGATCTCCAGAAGACTTCAAAGAAACTACAAGTCACACTACGGGGGAACGAAATTGTGATTGCCGCGGACCCGGAGGTACAATCTTCTCATCCAAGCAAAGAAAATTCTCAAGAGGCAGACACAGAAGAGCACAGCCTTCCCAAGAACCGTCCCTTTGGTCGTATTCTCACGAGTATACGGGCGTGGTGAGGAGGGCAAGATACATCGAGAACGGTGGGAAGAAGGAAAGAGGAAGTGTCAGCTAAGGTAATGGCAATGAAGATAGGACTAGTTCTGACGAGCTGTCCAACTAGACACCCGTAGCGTTTTGGTTGACCGGAGACCTCAGACAGGAAATAGAATGACAGGCTGGGTGACCATTCAGAATTTCAATGGAGAGTCAGCGGGAGAGAACACCTGGTTGAAGGAAGCCAAATCGGGAAGGTGCCTATCTTGGTGGTGGGTGCTATGCTAGCTCGAGATCTACTGCACAATGTTTTCATCTATCATTAGCCAAGTAAAAAGTGGCTTGACCAGCCAAAAGTTCGTCAGAGAAATCAATACTCTGAGACCACAGTAGCTCTCCTCCAAGAGGAATGCAAACATCGCCGAAAGTTCGTTCTTGACACAGTGGGCCTCGTCGACGATTATGCGGTGCTATTGGCGATAGAATCCAGACATGCCGTTGACCGGGATGTAGCTGCTAATGTATGCGTGGGCGTCCTCGTTATTACTGTAGAGATAGTACTCGTCCTCCTTGAAGTAGGTCTTTGCCACGACGGAGCGATGGGAGTAAATGAGTAGCACTGTCGTGTGGCCTTCGGGGTGAGGAGTTAAACCTTTAGCTGCCTTTCGAAAGTTTTTGAGCTGATCCTTGTTGCGGATTCGGATGGGTTGATGTTCGTAGGCGGTCAGATGATGAACGAGGGTCGTATTCGGGGAGAGCACGACGGTGCGCGCGGTCTGAGAAAAGGATAGTGGTTAGTAGATTTTTACTGGCCCCTGTTGTGTGGCATTATATCTTTTGTTAGGAATGTGAAGGCAGAGCTGTTTAACGACAGACATTCTTGGATATGGAGGATGAGCTTACTCACAGGGACGGCAATGCTGGGTTGATATTTGAGTAAATCCACATTCGCTTCGCATCACCGAATGGCTTTGTCGAAGGATATCAATTGGGTATTTGCAATCATCTATGCATGCACCTTGTACCCGCCGTTTTGCCTAGTGCCCAAATACAATGCTCCAGCTCCTGATGCCCCTTGGTATGCAATGCGCCGTAAATCCAAACCAAGCTCGTACTCAACACTCTTCAAGATCACCGCAGTTTTCTCGGTGATCGTCGCAGACCCAGCTCCTGCAACTCCTCTCTGGAAAGAATGATGCTCTCCTCTCTGTCCTCTTCAATATCCCCCATCAGTTGTGACTCGGCTATCCAGCCGGCTTCAACCGCGAACCTCACAACCTCGGCAGAAGTCCCAAATGCCGGCGTTCCAGCCTTGGCATCGGGATCGAGGTACTTCCACAGCTCTTTCGTGACCTTCTTGAATGCTGCGAGGTCCTTCTTGTCGCCCTGGAACCCCTTGATCATGTACTGGTAGAGATATGCCAGCCACAAGACGTTGGTGTATGGCACAAATACGTCCCATGATAGAGGCTCGCCATCTACCCCCTTGCAGTAAGGTGATTTGTGGGCGGACGGTGGCAGATGCCCACGCTCGCCACGTATAAGAAAGGATCGCATTTGGCGGTAAACCTTGCATTGTGGGGCGTGGGTGCTGGTGAAGATGCTGAGGTCCTTCTCGAGGTCGAGCGCAATAGGCTGAGATTCCTCCAATTCGAGGTCCTCGGCACGGGAGAGGCCATAATCAAGGATCGTAATGTCAAGGCCAGAGTAGCCAAAGTACGGCCCTGCTTTCTTCGGATTCCGCGTTTGTGGGTCTTCTGATCTCCGTATGCAAAGGTTGCCCTCATGCAGATCGCGGTGCTGATCTTGTTAGCTCACGCCCCCCTGCAGTTGCTTCAATGGCGTGTCAACATACCTCAAAGCAAGCCAGGTCTTCCGCCCTAGCCAGTGCAATGGCTACATGGAAGAAGATATCCCACAACTGACTGGAGTCTGTAAGTTCGAAGTCCTCGAGCGCGGTTCCTGCATCACCAAGCTCAACCACCAAGAAGGTGGTCTCGTCAAGATAGCGACTCGGGCTTGGGTAGAACTGCAGCCTATCCGGGTCCTTGCGCTTCATCTTCCGATGAAAGCTTTGGTGTGTTTCAAGCAAGCACTTTGGTGCCTTTCCTTTCACAAGGTAGCGCTCCTTGTAAATGACGAAACCGGGAATGTCAGCGAGCCACTCGGATATGCTCAGTTCACCACGCATATCGTCTTCTGAGTGCGGTTCTTCGTCAACGAGTCCAGAGCGCTCCTGGGTCTTTGTTTGCGCCTTGATGGGCGACTCGAGACGGATGCACTTTATGATGCTTGTGCCACGCTCATTTCGAACGCGGTAAACTTCTGCATAGGAAGCTTCGGCGATCTTTTCGATTGTGTCTCCGGGTGGGCATACATCCTCCCAGGTAAGAATGCGATAGTCAGGCTGTGGCTCTACTGGCACTTCGGGGACTTTGATTTTGGGCGTTTCAGCCTTTGATACGGGTGTAGGAAGTGACCCCCTGGCTATCCGTCTCGTGGTTTTCGCGGTCCTTGGGGTTTGTTTCACCGCCCTTGGGGGAGTTTCCGGTTTTTGTGGTGTTGGTGGAGATGCCACAACAACTTCGCTGAAGTCCTTTGATAGCTCATCTTCCGAGGAATAGGAATCCAATTCGATTCCAAGGGCGTCCAGGTCCTCGGTAATCTTGATGATAGAGTCATCTTCGGAGTCCAGCGTGACTGTCGCATTGGGTTTCCGAATCGGGGTTTGTGGAAGTTCAGCAAACAGTCGCCTTGCTTTTGCCTTTGTTGAGGTCTTGCCGTAAGTACGAGCTGCTGTTGTTCGCACCATTTTGTCTTCTTCTTCTTGAGTCCATACGGGGTTGATTTGTTGACTTGAGTGCTCCTGCTTTTGACGCTTTATTGCATGATGTCGCCATGACTGACGTTGGCAACTATTGACATTCCAGGCGCGTTGTCCAGACAACCAGAGCTTGAGCGGAAGATACGTTATCCCGAAACCGCTAAAGGGCCCCCGGGCCGGGCACGAGACACTGAACCCACGCTGCTGGGTTCTACGACGGTCGACCGCATTCAGATGAATAAGTGGAGAAACGTCACTGTGCCCCAGCTTCCAGGAAGCGATGTGACTGGCTGACGACAGCTTGACGACTGGCCTAATTTCGCCTTCTGGTTGGCGATACCTCCTCACAAGTCCGCAGCTTCACTGTCTGCAGTCTTGGATCTCGACACCACCGCAGCCAGCCAGCCATCCCTCCTCCGACCGCAACCATGGCCGCCATCCTCAACGGCCTCTTTGGAGGCTCCAAGCCCTCTGCATCCCCAATTCCTAGCGGTGATTCCGGTATGCTACTCTCGAGACTCAATTCCCCTGCCCCCTAAACTACCCCCCGTGCTGTCAAAGCTTCCAGTTTCCCCTCAGCACCCACAAAATCCACAACCTCACTAGACTGACGCAATCATCTCTCGCGTACAGACTTTGCAGACTTCGCCAAAGAGGCAACATCTTTGAGTATTTAAGAAACAAAGGAGTTCCTTATAATAGATGTTTTCATTGTTCTACTCGGGTAATATCCTGGATAACGAGAACGAGCCGCCTGTTGCCAGAGCGGATCCTCTTGGAGGCAACAGATGGAGAATTGGGGTTTCGCACCGGGTTTCATCAACACCGGCATCGTAGGCCCGATGGAGTGTTGGCTGTGGCAGGACCAGGGCGTTGCAAGTGTTCACACTGGCGACAGATGCACGGTCATCGCTGTATTGAGCCAGAAAACAAAGCCGCCCCTTTTGTCTATCCAGACTCTCTTAGTCTGAGGGTAATTCTGTCTGAATAATTTGATGCTGTAATTCTTGCGAGTAAGAGTTTCCCGACAACGTCGTGTTTTCTTGTCCTCATAACGATGAACTGTTTTACGTATTGAGCGGCGAGTTACACACACCTCCTGGCCATAACTCGAGGCTGACATATGGCACTGGAAAGCAATCGGCTTGATCCAGATTTGACTTGTGGAATCGGAAAAGGACCATGACGAGGGTCCGCAGCCAGCTACTCACATGTCCTCAAATAGGACATCTGCCGGGGACTGGAACATGTAAGTCGCAGCATCGAACCTTTTTCGAACTACTGGCCAGGAGAATCCGGGAGCCATCTCTCAATTACCATCCAAGCTGGGCCACTGGCCCTAGATGTCTTCCTGGACTTACTGCTGTCTAATGCATTCAGAATACGATTGGCAGAGTTTTAAGTTTCGGGCGACTATGCCACAGTGCTGTAAATTGAGTACAACGCAGAAACATACTTTGAGACAATAGGATCGCCCAAAGTTGTCTTTCTTCCCTTAGCTCTCATCTTCTTGGACAGAAACAAGAGCTTCCAAGTGGAATCATAGTTTCCGAGGTACCAAAAAGATAGGGTATATAAAGCGAATCGATGACATCGAAGCACTAAGACATTATGTCAAACGGTGAATGTTTCTTGGTTATTCGCTGATGGCTATGTTCGATGCATGGCGAGTTTTTAATTCAACTAGTACTGAGTCTGAATTCTATGGTGACTTGAACTTCCACGTTGTCATGGAGATTCGTTGGTTGTCTCATGGAGATTCGTTGGTTGTCGCTGCTGTATACATATTTTGCTACAGGCTACCAGATGTACAAGCGAGCCCGGCCGAAAAGTAGGAAGTTGTTGGACCCACGAGAGTGGAAACTAATCATGCGATAGATCCGGGGTCTAGTTGCAGTTCTATGGTTGAAATCTCTCATCTGTGCACTTCTTGGCGCCTGATGTTGGGTGTCTCTTGGCTGTTGGTCGTAATGATAAACGGCTCTTACTGCGCATCTGATGTCCCTATTACCACCCTCCTGGTAATACTTGCAGTTGTGGTGATAATTGTGTTTGTGTAAGAAATCACGAAATCTTCAACGAATAGTGACTGCAGGGGTTGTGATTTTTTGTCATCAATCCCATCGTGGCTGTGGCAACTCTCGACAGCGTGCGTCTGAAGATCAGCAAGGATTATGGCTACGAGCAACTCGCGAACATGGACAAGGTCAATCTCCCTGCGCATCGCAAACATTCAACGGTGATCTGCCGCTTGGTCCAAGTGCCATCATTGCTACGGGGAAGCAATACTGTTGTTACCGCATTCTGCCTCAAATCACGGAGGGGCAATCAAGAATGACACATGGCTTTATAAGTACATTGAGCCACCTGAATGTAGGCGAGGTGTTTCACGGGCTTTTGGTAGGGGCCGATTACTCACTGCTCCCTTGTCAACGTCACTCTACATCTACACTGAGTCGCTCAAAATTGAGGAAGAAGAATGACGAGAACATGTCCGCAGATGTCAAGCATCAGATTGGTCGAGGGTGCTACATGTGTGACGGCCGACGAGGGTAATGTCTAATTGCCTTGGCGTCAATTCACACCGGATCAGTGGAAGTCGCCGCCTGTCTATCGTTCATCATTCAAAAACCTTGAAGTGGGAATTGGAGACTGGAGGTTGCATGGAAACTCACACTGACAGACTGATCTTTCAGATGACCGAAGCGGATGAATCAGTCCATCTCGCCCACGAACCTGACTCCAGAGTATTCCGGCTGCGCAGAGTTCCTGTTCCAGGCATGTGGCCCCATGGCCCCCAAGTCTGAGACGATCTGTGACCTAGGAGGGCTTGATAGTGCGTTAAGATGAGTTCACTAAAACTACGCGCAAATTTGTTAGCGTAGTATAGACACCCGAAAGAAACAAACTGAAACGGGTTTGCCGACTTTTAAATAGTCGTCCGATAGCATTTGAGTTTTCCTCCCAGGTTCACTGCTGTGCAATGTCAACCCCTCTTGGCACACATCTGCGACTTGGTGTGACAGCACACTCAGCCACTTGTGAGGACCACAATTTGCTCTCAGCGAAGAAGGCATTCCGGATAGAGATGGCCCCGTAACTGAAACGGTTCTTCCTCGAGCAATTCTCCTCCACCAGTCCGAATCTGTCACTAGTGCTGCTACTGCACGGTCAATGATGGCAATCCATCTTCTTCTCAGCAAGACAAGATCCCCGCTATCCTTGCGATGGTGTGGTTCTCGTGTCTTGCTTGCCCGCTGCGCACGGGATAACCCTGCCGACAACAGCGGCGGACACTTTCCTCCCCTACACCTAGTCAATATCTCTAGTGTGTCAACATCACGGGCAGTCGACAACCCCCCCGCACGACTGGTTTGAGAACATGGCACATTTCTACTAGACTGGAGAACTTCACTAAGACTAGTTGGTACCCGAGCGCAAATCCCCGCGGGCCGCCGCAACGTTGACATGAATAAGCTTGTCTGCGAGCCTTGTTCACCTTGTCCGTGTGCTTTCCCAAGGGTACTGCCTTGGCGATCGCCTCCGAGCTCCCGCTATGCAGGCCATACATGAGTCCGGATCGTCTCGACTCAGAGTCTAATTTTGGACCTGTAGGCTTGTTGTAGCCTGTCACAGCGCCGTTTCTATCACCTGTCCTCAAGCGAGAGACTTTCGAGCGTGGCATCGAACTATTCTGTGGCGAGCTGCCCTCTCCTCGCTCGCACATCTCAACCTTGCCCCCTGAGCCTAGATCTTACACTCGGTCCAACTGGGTCGGTCATTCTGGAACTCACGATTTTTTTGTTCAGCGCACTCCTCAAACAGGCCCCTGCACTTGACTTAGTAGTGTCTGGTTGTGTCTGGGTCGTATAACCATCACGGTGGCGGTTGTCCGGAGAAGAGCAGATTCAACCGACTAAGCCTAGTGGAGCATCACGCACCCACACCCCGTCGGCGAACGACTTTATATCTAAACCGAGACTTTCGTCTCTTCTCTGTCGGTCCGGATCTTCTGCTCCCCAACCTACTCGTTCGCCTCCTCCTCTTCTTTTCATCTCATTCTTTTTCTCTTTATAGTCTGCTGTGTGGACTTCCTTTCCTTTTCCATTTCTGTTAGGCTTGACGCCACAGAAGTTTCCACTTTACGACAATTACCTAGTCTCTATGTTTGTTTAGCAAACCACGTCTTGATGACTTTCACTCTCTCGTGGCGCCAAGCCGCCGTGGCAGCGTTGCTGTTCAACGCCGCCGTAACGGCCAACTACGATACCCGACGAAATAATGAAGCCTCGGAAGATACAAAGCGGGCTTTGAATGTTGCCTCCGTAAAGGCTCGAGGCCTGAATGCCAGAAACTTTGTACAGAAGTTGGACGTGGATAGTGTATTGTCTGCTCTTGGGAGTAATAATAAGGCACAGGGTTCGTCATGCACATCACATATTGGTATCAAATGCATAAACTAACTCTATCTAGGCGATGGGACTCCGGATGTAGCTCCTCTTGCTGCTGATGGGGCTGTTCCTGCTGTCCCTCAAGCCCAACCAGCAGCACCACCGGCACCGGCTGCGGGAGAGGCCCCTCCTCCTCCCCCGGCAAATGGAGCAGCACCTCCTCCTCCTCCTGTGAACGGTGCACCTCCGCCGCCTCCAGATCCAAACGCTGCTCCTCCCCCTCCTCCGCCTAACGGTGCTCCTCCACCACCGCCTGACCCAAACGCGGCTCCTCCGCCTCCGCCTCCCGCGAATGGCGCTCCTCCACCTCCTCCTCCGGCTAACGGTGCTCCCCCGCCACCACCACCTGACGGAGCACCGCCGCCGCCGCCTCCCGATCCAAATGCTGCTCCTCCAGACCCGAACGCGCCTCCTCCACCACCACCTGATGAAGCGCCGCCGCCGCCTGATCCAAACGCAGAGCCGCCACCACCTCCTCCAGAGGGAGGACCGGCTCCTGACCCGAATGCCCCTCCCCCGCCACCCCCTGATGGAGGTCCAGCTCCCGATCCCAATGCTCCTCCACCACCACCTCCAGACGGCGAGGCACCTCCCCCTCCTCCTGATGATGGGCCTCCACCACCACCCCCCGATGGCGGACCGGCTCCCGACCCCAACACTCCTCCACCGCCGCCTGATGCCGAGGGGGCACCACCACCACCGCCGGAGGCTGCTCCCGCTGTAGCTGGTGAGCCTCTTGCGCCATTGGCCGTAGGGGCTCCTCCGCAACCTGCCGCAGCTCAACCTCCTCCTCCTCCCGCTCTCGCAGGAAATGGAACTGACCCTGCCGGCAAGAAAGGAAAGAAGGGCAAGGGCAAGGATGACGCCGGCAAGAAAGCAAGGGACGACGCAAAGAAGGCAAGAGACGAAGCCAAGAAGAAGGCTGAGGGACAACTAGCAGGTGCTGCTGGCCCCGGCCAGGCCGCCGCCAACGGAACAGCACCTGCGCCTCCGGGCAAGAAGGGAAAGAAAGGCAAGGACGCCAAGGGCAAAGACGCAAAGAAGCTAAAGGATGGAAAGGGCAAGGGGGCAATTCCCGGCGCCGCAGGTAACGGCACCGAAGCCGTTGGACCAGATGGAAAAGCCAAGAAGGCCAAGAAGGACAAGAAGGCTAAGGGCAAAGCCGCACTTCTTCCAGGAGCGGCCGTGAACGGCACGGCGCCAGCAGGTCCAGATGGCAAAGCCAAGGGCAAAGGCAAAGACGATGACCCCGAGGCGAAGAAGAAGGCCAAGGACAACGGTCCTGAGGGCGCCGCTGGGCCTGCTGAGGAAGCTGCAGGTGGACCTGAAGGCAAAGGCAAAGGAAAAGGTGACGACCCCGAGGCTAAGAAGGCAAAGGAAGCGGCTGCTGGGGGAGAGGGAGCAGCAGCCGCAGGGAAATCGGCGGGAGCGGCATTTGAAAGACGTCGACGAGCGAGCTTCGTGAAGCGGCGAAACCTCATGTCCAATTTCGGCTGGTGATCTCAGATCAAATTCTTGTGCTGCTGGCCCATCGTACTCTCACTCACTTATGGGTATTAATGGGCGACATTCTGCATACAATGTTTTCATTATACTATCTCACTCGTTTCTAAACATTCAAAAACTCCAATCGCTGTCTGGGACAGAATATTCACAAATTAGTTTTTGTGCGGAAGGCGAGGACCGATTCTGTGGTATAATACTGTGGGAACTCGTCTCGCGATAGTTGAGATTAAATTCAAGAAGAAATAAAAAAACGATAAAATAACACTAACAAGGACTCGGCCGGTGCAAATATGCGCATTTCCGACGCGGGATATATGTCTACTTGTGATTTGACGGGTGACGTTTTAGACTTTTCCGTCTGATCAGGAACGCATGAAACCGTACTATTTCAGGAACAACAGGAACAACCCCGCAAGGGCAGCACACGCCCCGTTCTTGGGCTGAAGGTTGTCTTCTTCGCATATGACTCGACATGTTCTGTATTCGGAAATTCACACAACCATTCCCCCTTACTGTCGCGAACGATCGAGTGTCAACGGCCGTCAGTGTATCGCATCGTACATGAACGACAGCTCCTCAAGGTAGTCATCGCCGACAACTTTCCGTTCAACCAAGGGTTGGGCAGGAGTATACCACACAATGCTACATGATCAAGACGTGCGTTCTTGCAATCTTCACTAGATATGCAACTACCGATCCGACTGCATCATTTACTCTTCAATACATCACGGTGCTAAAACGTACCGGCTATGCCCCTCCAGAAGTAAGATTCTCAAGCTTGCTTAAAAGATCGCAGGAGAGTCTCGAGAACTCGGCAGCACATTTGGCCATACCGGTCATAGTGTGTGTGTGTGTGGTTGGAATGGATGTCACACTCGCCCCAGCTGTCTCAGTCCAATCAATGAAGTGGTGGGCTGCCCATTGGGCTGGGACTGCCGATACTAGAAAGTTTACTCCGTGAAATCCAAATCTTTTGTTCCTGTGCCTTTTCCTGCAGAACAGTTTCATAAGAAGCTAGGATGCGCCAACAAAACATCCGGGACCGAGAAGGGGCGACAATGTGCTTGTGGCGTTTGGCACTCAGCGAGGTTTTAACACCTACCTTAGGTACATAAGTTTGTGAGGAGCAGTATTATTAACAAGCAACAGCCTCTGTGGCAGTGCAGTCATTCATCTCCCACATTATGGACCCTTTTGTACAATACGACACCGAAGCTCTAGTTCCTCTGTGTTGTTATTGGCATGGTCGAATGGCTAAAAAATCGACATCAAAAGTTAAATGCGCATATCTTGAGTTCGAGCAAAATGAGAGACTATCGCTGCGTTCGATGGCCTTGCAGGCTCACAAAACGTTCAGCGCTAGGTTTCAATCCATCGATTAGAGAAAGGAGAGCCCTCATATCAGAGACTTCCAATCATGATTTAGTATTTGTCGTTGTTGGTCAAAGAATCTACAGCTCTCACAATCATTCTATCCACTTGAAGTGAATGGATTCAACAGGTTTTTAATTAGTTTCGGAATGTCCACAGTTGGTGGTTTTGATCGATAAAATAGAAGGAACGATTTGGGCCAACATGGACGAAGTCAAGATTTGTGAATCGGGCAGCCCATTGCGTTTGCATAATTAAGCGAGAGAGCTTACTGACCGTTGTAGAGGAGAAAATATTTCGTCATGACTCAAGCCCGAATTAAGGTAGGATGATTTGAGGATAGAAGGTTTTCTTGCTCGCCGCTTCAGAAATATGTTTGCACGAGGCTTCCGACCTGGAACTCGTCATTATGCTTGGATAGCCTTTAAAACCAAAGAAACCATTGAATTCAGGTTCGTTCTACTTACAGTCCTCGGCCACCCTGCTGTTGATAGTGTTGAGAAGCCAGACGCTAATGAGAGCACCTAGTTGCCTTGCGTATCGAATTGGGGCGAGTCCGGAATAGCTGGACGGAAGCGCGCCCGAGATTCCGGCCCGCCCCGCCGTTTTGTGGAGAGACCGGCCGGCAGATGACGGTTTTCCTACAACGTAGAGTGACATAATCTAAAATTGACTCTCCGGAGTTTAGCCATTGTCCTCTTCCGGAACAACAACCAACCCAACTGCATAGGCGGGGCCGTTGATTAACCGTCCCTCGCCTTGGAGCCCGGTCTCCATAAAGGCTCTCTCGCCTCACCCTATGGCCTACCTTGTTCCATCTGAGGAGTCTTCGAATATCCGTCTCGACTTAACTATTTGAAGCTTCATGATGGCCACAGTCACTCAACAGCAGCACACGTCGTCAGACTCTTACGAACTTGCCGAAGCACCGAAGCAACCCCGCAGCGGACACATTTTAGGATCCGTTGACCCTACAGACACTGATCAGAGCGATAAAATTGACAATGCCACACTCTTAAAGCTAATAGCCTCAGGCTTCGCCTTCTTCATCTCTGGAGTCAATGATGGTAGTGTCGGTCCTCTCCTTCCCTACATGATCCGCGACTATAGCATCACCACAGCAGTCGTTTCTATTATGTGCGTAGCGAAAGCCATAACTTTAAAACTTAGCTTCAAAACTAATCCCTGATTAAAGCTACGGAGCAAATTTTCTCGGCTGGTTCCTCGCTGCCCTTACCAACACTCATCTCCGACAAAAGTTTGACCTCGGCGGACTGCTCGCTTTCGGCGCCTTCTTCCAAGTCTTGGCCCACGCGCTCCGGGCATGGCGACCTCCGTTCCCATTCTTTGCCGTCACGTTTTGGATCGTATGCCTCGGACAGGCATACCAAGATGCAGGTGCAAATGCGTATGTAGCCAGCGCCAAGGCCGCACATCGATGGCTGGCCTTTATTCATGCATTGTACATGGCAGGATGTCTAGTTGCCCCATTTGTCGCGACTCCAATTGCATCTGCTGGGGAGACCTCTCGATGGTATCTCTTCTACATTTTCCCGCTCGCCATTGGTGTTCTTAACTTTGCCCTGACCTGCTACGCCTTCCGAGACACTATCAAATTTGGACGTAAAAAGAACAGGGCGACTGAGCCAGAAGCAGGGACTGACGAAGAGGAGAAGAAGAGCGCATCCCAACTAATGAAGACTGCTTTACGATCCAAATCTCTTTGGATGGTCAGTATCTTCTTTTTCTTCCTACTTGGGGCGACTATTACAGCAAGTGGATGGATTGTCGAATATCTTGTTGAGATTCGTGGTGGTAATCTCGGCGCCATGGGTTATGTCCCGGCGGGCTTTAATGGAGGAGCCATGCTTGGTCGCCTTGTTTTGGCTGAACCCACCTATCGTCTAGGTGAAAGGAGAATGATCTTGCTTTATGTGGTGCTCTGCATCGCCTTTCAGTTGGTGTTCTGGTTGTGAGTATGAAAGCCGTCAAGCTCGTGACTACTGGAGTCTAATGCGTCTGAAACAGGGTGCCAAATATCATCGCTGCTTCAGTGGCCATCAGTTTCTTTGGATTCTTCTCTGGTCCTCTATTCGCCACGGTAAGTTGTGCAACTACTGATGCAGGACCCAGATGTCTGACTATCCCTAGGGTATATCTGTTGGATCCAAACTCTTCTCACCAGAGGTGCAACCAACAGCCCTCTCATTCGTGTTTGTGATCGGGCAGATTGGTGGATCTTTGTTTCCCGTCATTACGGGAGTAATCGCATCTCGCATAGGCGTCAGTGTGCTGCAGCCTATTCTGATAACCCTGATTGCAGGTACAGGTATCAGTTGGATGCTGATACCGAAGCCTAAAGAATCGTCAAACACCGCCTTGCATCAGGAGTAGGGATTGAGACAGCCAGTACACATGTGAACATCAAGAGGCTCGAAGAGGCACCCAATCGAAGCTCTTGCTCAAAGATGAGACAGCAATTCATGAAGCAATAAAAAAATTTGATTCACGGATAAGGATTGCGCATCAAGGAAAGACATTTAGGTGTTGATTGGCGTGACAAGACGCGGTGAACCAATATCACCAAGATGCCACGAGGGGATGCAGTTTTGTGGGTTTCAAAATGGTGCAATCCCCCCTTGTACCCCCTGCCTTGAGTCCAAAGGTCTTTGAACGTTACTTAAAGGCATTAGTAGAACAACTGAGCCAAGGATACCAGAGTCTCATTGTGACAGTCGAGAATCCTTCGCGTGTCTTTGCACTGGATGTGGAGACATATTAAGCACGCCATGATAACTCAGATCGCGACACACTGAGCCACCGCTATCGGGGAAACAGTACCAGGATGTGGAAGATATTTCAACTTTACCTTCATGACTTTGAAAGTGTGTATTCTTCAGATTGTGTTCCGAGTCTGGGCTGTCGTTCAACCTGGCGATCTCAGAGGAGCTTTCTGAAGCCAGCTTTTACCTATCTCGCGATTGCTATCTCCAGTCTGTTGACAGAACATTGTTCGCCTGCGACCCAAGACAGTTCGTGCAACATGGCTTCCCTAAAGTCTCAACCAATTGAGGCACACTCGGCAATTGGCGAGGATGCAGTACCGGAGTTTGAAGCTTCTGGCATCGGCAAACGGACATGGTACCGAACTGTCTTTTTTCAGGCCACTGTTATTGGCCTTTGCGCATTCTTCGCCCCGGGCCTTTACAATGCCATGCAATCGACGGGTGCAGGTGGTCAACAGACTCCATACCTCGTTATGTAAGTCTCTGTTCAAACTTTAAAGTATTCCCATTCGCCGAACCCCTTCAACTGATTGACCTTAAAGGTCCGCGAATGCCGTTTTAGGAGTTATGATGGTTGTAACATGTTCCATGGGAAGTGTGGTCGCCAATAGGATTGGCCTCAAAAATGCCTTGATCTTTGGCACGACGGGATAGTAAGTCACCTCCAGCCTTCAGTTTGAGATGAATGGAATTTTCCAAGTACGGGGGTTAATCCAATGCAGTGCTCTGTACTCAGCGTCGCTGTACACAAACAACCGTTACGGCAATGAGTGGTTCGTCTACGTTGGCTCTGCTGCTTGTGGTATCACTGCTGGTGTTTTCTGGGCTGCAGAAGGCGCGATCATGATCAGTTGTAAGTCGTCTTAGCCTTGGCCGGCCTACTAGAATCCATCTAACTTCGAAGCGTAGATCCGGAAGACCAGAAACGCGGCAGGTATCTGGCCTACTGGCTGGCGTATAGAAATGTCAGTGGTCGTGGGACGGGGCTTCTACATCTGTACCAACAGTGCTGACGAGCTTCAGGGCGGATCAATCGTTGGAGGTGCTATCAACCTTGCGTTCAGTAAGTGAAGCAGAGTTGCACTTTACAGAGAAAAAGTGTTGACTTTCCTCAGATGCAACTGGCAAGACAACGGGAAAGCTGGATTACAGGACCTACATCGTCTTCGTAGCTTTGCGTAAGTTCTTGGCTTTTTGCAGTCTTACTACCATTCTCTAACCATTTCCAGAATGTCTGGGGCCTTTTGTAGCAATGCTTCTGTCTCCTCCCGACAAGGTCCAACGCCAAGATGGAAGAAAAGTAGCAAAGGCTGAGCGGATTCCCACGGTACTAGAACTAAAGGCTGTTGCCAAAATTCTCATTCGCAAAGACTTCTTGCTAGTGTAAGTGGCCGGGCCGTGAGAGAGGGCCTCGATCAGGGATGCGATGCTGACAAGATGTAAAGTTTCCCCTTCTTCTTCTACGCTACATTTCTACTATCCTATGCGGGATCTTACTTGTCACTTTACTTCTCCGTTCGCTCCCGTGCTTTGGCATCCCTAGTCTCTGCACTGGCTCAGATTACTGCAAACTTCATATTCGGCAACTTTCTGGACTGGAAGCGATTCACTATCAATCAGCGGGCCCGATTCGCTTACTTCGGAATTATGGCACTATTTGGGGGGACCTGGGTGTGGGCAATTGTCATTCAGCGAGAATATGGGTTGAAAGCTCCTGCTTTGGATTGGGTCGACAGCGGTTTCGGCCGTGGATGGGCGCTTTACATCCTCTTGCAGGTCAACTTGTGAGTCCCACCCAACATCTTTTACCCTTTTTGATCACATGTGTTGACTGGTGGCAGCGCATTGGCATACAACTATGGTTACTGGCTTGCTGGCTACATGGCGCGTGATAACGCTGAGATCATCCGATTTACATCAACGGTTCGAGCCGTTGAAGCGGCTGGAGGCGCGGTGGCGTCAGGTATTAGCTCTACGCATGCTCCTGTAAGTGCTCCTCATCCATTGAAGAATTCATGAGACGTGAGGGGCTGTTTCTTTATATGATTCGTCGATAACAAGCTAATACCATTCGAAGCTCATTGCTGCCGCCAGCGTCAATTTCGGTCTATGGGGTTTAGCACTTATCCCAACCTATTTCGCCGTTCGATCAATCGACGCGAAGCCGCTGGAGGATATTCCGGAGGAAGAGTCGAGCAAAAGCGTTTCTCTTTGAACTAAGAGATTTGAGGCATGATCATGTTAAGGGGGCGGCAATACCCCTTGTAGAGTATCGTTATGATGCTCATAGAAAAGCTGTCAACTTGAACTTGAGTACAAGTTCAAAGTCCCAAACCTTTTTCCAAATAATATAGAAGTACAGTTCTCGCTGTTAGGCAGCCAAAAGCACCTTTCTCGCTTCGACTACGAATTTTGTGATGTCATTTGCGATTGAGAGGCGTTTCGCTACCCAGCTGACAAAGTCTCCCATGGCCAGACGCGCCGACTTCGCAGGAGTTCTCGGGTGTAATGCAGCCATGATGAGTCCCGCCAGATTGAAGTGGATGCTGTTAGAGCACCTCATCACTCGCAAGTCTTCCGTGATTCCCATGGTAGATACACTAATCATACCCCTCTTTGGATGGTTTATGCTTGGTAAAAACAACTCAATGCATAAAAGCAATATGTACAGGACTCTTCCATTGCGTGAAGAGTCACATACCTCCTTTCCTTGGAAGTAAGTAAGATTTTCGCACCATCCATATTTCCAATATCGAATTGGAGATGACGAGACCATATTGGTACAGACAATTCACTGAGCATGGCTTTGCGGTCATTCCATCGGTAATCCCTTACACTAAAGCTCTCGAGTATCAGCAAAAGGCCTTCGCGTGGCTCAAGTCCTTCGACAACGCCGCGTTGGATCTAGCAGACCCCACAACATGGACCCCCGACAATCTGCCATTCATTTCCGGAATCAACACAGTGAACCATTACGGAGTTGTGCACGAGAAGTTCATGTGGGACATACGCCTGGAACCAGGCGTGATCGACGTCTTCGCGAACGTATGGAATACCCGCGACCTTATCGTCTCCTTTGATGCCCTGAACATCACACTTCCAAGACGCCAAGGTCATATTCCCAGAAAAAAGTGGCCTCATGTCGACCAGAGCCCATACAGACAAGGCCTAGAGTGCGTTCAGGGCATAGTGAACCTCTCAAAGGCTGGCATCGAGGACGGCGGATTGACGGTATACCCGGGAACGCACAAGATCACCGAGTCGTTTTTCAGAGAGCATACCGACAAGTCGGAGTGGACGCGAAAAGACTTTTTCAACTACACGACTGAGCAGATTGCATGGTTCGAGAAGGAAGGCTATCGGGAGCAGAAGGTTGTCGCGGAACCAGGTGATTTGATCATCTGGGATTCGCGACTGATCCACTTCGGGGCCGAGCCAACATCAAAGAGCAATACCATACGGACCATCACATATGTGTCGTATGCTCCTGCATCTTTTGCGACGAAGGCAGCCCTCGAAGCCAAGAAGAAAGCCTTCGACGAGTGGCTGGCTACGACGCATTGGCCTCATGACAACATTGTTCCGAGGACAAATCAGCCAACCCTGCCGGATGGGACTGTTGACAATAGAAGAATGGAGCCGTTGGAGAAACCTGAGCTTACTCCAGAGTTGCTGAGGCTGGCGGGGGTTGAGGCATATTAAACATGCAACCCCGCAACAGTACAAGCTGGGGTAGGCGGATATGGCGACCACTCTGCCTGGGGACTTGAGGCTTGTAGCTCGTCTACTGGATCTAAGATGTTCTGACGATGGTACAAGTGATTCGTTCGTCCATCATGTAAGAAAGGCTTGATTAGGAAATTGTATTCTCAGCTGCGGTCGGATGATCTCTGTTGGTGACCGTGTCGGCGCGTAAGTGCTGACTCGTGCGCTAGCCCACGCTCAGCTTTACAAGCGTGTCCACCATGTTTGAAGCAGAAAATGTTAATTCGTACCGGGAACTGAGAGGGATATCCGGTTCATATCGGCCTGCCCATGCCGGACCAAGGTAAAGGCTCGTTATCTGTCAGATAGGGAGGCCAACACCACGCCGGCCCGGGTTCTTTGCGCTGCTGATAGACAGCCGGTATCGCGGATAGTTCCCGGTCTCGGGACGACTGCGGAGTACCGGGGGGCCCACGTCTGACAAACGATTGATTAACTAAGTAATACCCAGTCATTTTCCCATTTTTAGCCTATCAGAGCCCGCAGACTCCTTATCGGAAACCCTCTACCGTGGATACTCTTTGTTAAATTCCAAGCAGTAGACTGTCGAAGCACTTTGCCGCGGACCAAGCTTGAGAATAACCTCAGCACAACGGTTTCCAACTCTTGGCGTTGAACGACCGCGACAAAGACCAGATCATCAAGATGGGAGATCTTGGAAACCGTCAAAGCCCCTTGGCAGGAGACAAGCTCTTGGTATTTCTCTCAGCGCCGGAAGACACGAAATGGACAAGCAGGATCTCTCAGCGCTTCCCCGGCCTGAAAGTCTGCTGGGAGTCCAACTTGAGGCCCGGTGGCGGCTTTCTTCTGCCAGATGAGCTTCCGGATGAGGTGTGGGAAGATGTGACGATTTTCATGGCCTTCAACCCGCCGTCTGCTCATCGCTTGTCTAAGGTTCGCTTCGTGCAGTTGACCTCTGCAGGCGCCGATAGATGGCTCGACCACGATGTCTACAAGGACCCTAAGGTTTCATTTTGCACTACAAATGGCTGCCATCCGTGAGTTCTTACTGTGCTACTACTGGTTTCATGCAATAACCTGATGACTGACGTGATCTGCAGGCCCCAGATCGCGGAATGGGTCATTGGTTCATGGCTCGCGCACCAGCACCATTTCCAGCGCTATCATAATCACATGAAGGAAGGATTTTGGGAAGGCCCGATGGAAGTAGACTTTGAAGACTCAGTCGGACTTCGCATGTAAGTCATCGCCCGCGCTGTTCGTCGTGAGGGAAAGAAGGAGCTGCTGACTCGATCGACTTAGGGGTGTTCTGGGTTATGGTGCCATAGGGCGCCAGTGTGGTAAGGTTGCGCAAGCAATGGGAATGGAGGTGTATGCGTATACGAGAAGCGAGCGCGCAACACTCGAGTCTCGCAAAGACGACAGCTACTGCGTTCCCGGCACTGGAGACCCCGATGGACTGGTCCCTGCTAAGTGGTTCCACGGCGCTTCCAAAGAAGCCATTAACAACTTCTTGAGCCAAGACCTCGATCTATTGGTACTCGGTCTGCCTTTAACAGAGGAGACGAAAGGACTGATTGGCAAAGAGCAATTTGAGATCTTGTCAAAGCGGAGGACTTTTGTTTCAAATGTTGCCAGAGGTCCCTTGATTCAGACCGACTCTCTTATCGAAGCTCTCGAGGGTGGTAAGATCCGGGCGGCTGCTTTGGACGTCACAGATCCGGAGCCGCTTCCGAAAGATCACCCACTGTGGAAGGCGCCCAATGTCTTCATTACACCCCACGTCAGTTGGAGAACAGATGGATACTGGGAGCGAGTTCTAGGAGTTCTGGAGGCAAACTTGGAGCGTATAGATGCTGGCAAGCCTCTCATTAATGTGGTCAACAAGAAGTTGCACTATTGAGTACTCGTGGCTGCGTGAATTTGACAGCATTCTTTGTAGTGAGAGGCGAAAGAAAGATCAATTCATACCCCGAGAGTCTTGAAACCTACATGTAGTAGTCGCTCACTATATGATCCAAATTCCCCACTATCGCTATCCTCCGAGTTCAAATACAACAGCGCCGTTAGTCTCTGTCTCTAATGATTGCACTATTACTTCCAGTATTCTACGAACCCATTCACTAAGCTAAATGTCTCTCGTTTCCTGAAAAGCACCACCACGCCTAATATCTCTCCCTGCGGACTGAATTGTCTGCGAGCCAGCCTGACTGGAGACCGCCGATGCAGGTTCCAACGAGATACGAGGTGACGATACTACCTAGAGCGATGATTGAATGTATAGTATGCCCTAAGCACGCGCTCAACTTAATTCAGTAATTCCAATACGAAAGACCGCCACGCGAGGCGTGCGGAGTCCTAATACATCTCTGAGAATTCACCCGGTATCCCATGAAGGAGAAAGATGCTCGGACCGCTCAATGCACTTGGGAATGAATCGTCAGGCTTTATGGGTTGGGCATTGCTTTCAACCGTGAGACTAGTATTCATCGACATGCCCAATAGCTCGAGGCAGCTAAGTAGGTATACTCAAGGCTTTGGGCATGAACTGCTCTTTGAAGTGCTTTTATCTGGCCGAATAATCGATTCTGTCAGTAAGTCAGTTATCTGAATTTCTCGTTTCATTTTCTAGTTAATTCACTGCCCACACATCTCCAAATCCTCTGCTCCGCAACCCGGGTAAGCCGCATGGAACCCATCACGTCACATCCGTTCTTCGTCCGATCAACACCACTTGACGCCTCCGGTTTCATTCGATCTTCAGCCAAGTTCATGGCGGAGCTTCCCCAACCACCATCCCGACCCTGGGCGACCTTCTTGATCGATAAAAAGACGAGGTCGTTCCTCCTCGTAGAGTTAGAATTAAGAAGCGATTCTGTGAGTCACCTTGGACGCGTCGAGCCACCTCGATTCAAAGAACCTAAATCTGGGAGGTTCAGTCACTTCCAGTCGCCCACTACACCTTCTGAAACCCCCCAAACCCCATCAAGATGGCCACCACACCCCCGAAAGACCTCGAATCCCTCCCCACAATCTACTGCCACGCCTGGGCCGCTCGCGACCCATCCCCCCTTCTAGCTCTTTTCACAACAGACTCCTGCATGACAGATCACGGCGCCCAAATCCACGTCCCCTACGCCTTCCTCAAACGCCACCACAAACACTGGAACGGTGCGCACAAGGACTTTGAAGTCTACCTCGACAAGCAGTACCCCGTCTACTGGGCCGAGATGGACGCCGACGGCAACGGGTACTGCAGCTTCCGGACCGTCAACAAGGGGATTTTCGTCAACGACCTGGGACGACGAAAGGCGACGGGGTTGCCGTTTGAGTATTCGGGTGTTATTGATCTCAAGTTGAGGGCGGGCAAGATTGCGCAGGCAGATGAGTGGTTGAGGGTTCCTTTCGAAGATAGTGTCTCGCCTGATAAGTATATCAAGATCTCGGAGGAGAGTTTGAAGGGCGTGATGAGGAAAGACCTTCATAAAGATGCTTGAGGATGAAAAATATTTTAGAGTACACCAAAGTTCTGACAAGGAGCGGTCTTGGTATGCTTAAATTCATCATAATGAAGATCAGGGCATATTGAAGTGAAAGTCAAAGGTGAAATCCATATTAATAATCAATGTTTGTTAAATGGCTTTTTATACAACTTGTAGATTAGAGCCAATGAATAGTAGGTAGATTGACGGTCCTTAGTATGGATCGACCAGATGAAGAAAAAGTCGCTTTTATATCATAGAGCAAGGCTATGTGGGGTATTATCATCGTCAACTACTCTTCAAACAACGTTTCCGCGCACTTGCTTGATCTTCTTGACGTTCAGGTTGCGCCACATGGCGACGGAGCCAAGAGCACCGACCAGGAGGCAGATACTAGTGATGAGCATGATGCGCTGCGAGTCACCGTAGGCACGCTGAATGCCAATGCGCTCGGGACTGCCGACCTCGTAGCTAAGCTGCTGGTAGATATCGCCATAAATGGTGTCGACGGGGGTGCCTGCAGGAGTGTACTTTGCAATATTCTTTCTGAAAGTACCGGTCCAGATGGCAGTGGCGACGGTGTAACCAACGGTGGAGCCGATGCTACCGAAGAGGTCCAGGATGGCCATGATGACGGCGACGTGGGCGTGGTCGGAGGGACTGAGCATGGCCATCTCTCCGCAGATGACAGTGGGTCCACCAGCAAACGCGACTGTATTGAATGTTAGTAACGAGAACGTTGAAGAGCTTCAGAGTTGCGCGACGTACCGAAAATTTGAGTCATGATAATGTAGCCGAGAGGTTGGTCAGGCTGACGGAAATGAATCATGAGGCCAACGCCGAGCATCATCAAAGGAATGCAGAAGAAAAGAGCGAAAGGCTTGAAGCGTCCGGTGCGGTAGATGAGCCAGGAGATGATAATGGAGAAGAAGCAGGAGCCCGTTCGGTAAATGTTGCTGATGTAGGTGGTCTGAGAGGTGGATGTATTCCAGACAACCATGAGCATGGAAGTAAAGAAGGATCCCCAGACAGCAGAGTTGAAGAACACAAAGACGAACATCATGCCACCGAAGAAGACGGTTCTGTCCATCAGAAGAGAGAAGGGAATGAAGGTGACGGGGGCGAAGAACTTCTCGTAAACAACGAAGCCGATGATCAAGAAGAAACCGACGACAATGAAGGCAATGATCATGGGAGAGCGCCAACCTTCCGTCTGGTAGGAGTAGATGTTGAATGGTAGCAGGAACAGTGCCATGCCGGCAGCGAGAATGAGGATGCCAAGGGCATCGACATCGATGAGGAACTTGAGAATCTTGGCGCCAGAGATGTTCTTAATGGAACCGCGGCTGTCGATGACGCCCATCTTCTTCGCTTTATGCTGGTTCCAGAGGAAAAGGAGAACAAGAGGTCCGATAACGACGGGAGCAACGATAGCCCACATACCAAGACCCCAACGCCAGCCAATGCCATCCTCTCTGAGGATACTATCGGTGATGGGGCCAGCTGCCCAGGTAATGAAGATGTATGGCGTCGTTGCGAACGAGAGCATCAGAGCTCTGCTCTTCAGAGTAGAGGTATCGGCGATGAAAATAGTAATGCAGTAGGAGATACCTTGGGATCTTTAGGGTGTTAGTACTGGTCAAGGGTGGTCATCTTGGAAGCTCATTGCTTACCCAACTGAGTAGAAGACCTGCGCAGCAGCATAAGTCTCGACGCCATTGCAAGCAGCCATCATGATAAAGCCGAGAATCCAGCAGATGAGCATGATACCGAGACCTTGAGGACGGCCCCATGTGTCGAGAATCTTGGCAAGCGGTAACTTAATCAGGCCGGCAATGAGAGTTGACATGACACCAGTCGTGGCTGTCAACGAGTGCATGGCGAAAGAGCTAGTGACGAAAGGGGACAAGACGCGCATCGAGACCTCCTGGATAGAGGTAACAACATAGAACAACCAGATCCTTTACAGACAGTCAGTCATCGTCCAGATAGCTACCAATTCCTGCCTGGGCATCGTATGTGTAACTCACAGGATGTAAGCAATGATAAGATCGCGCTTTGTCCACACGGTTGTCATGGCCTCGACCTTGGCGACACCGGCCTGGAGGTCCTTTGAGATTGGCTCGTCATCGCTTGATCTATCACCGGGGTGCTCGCCCGTCGTCTTCTCGTCGTAATGGGGAGATCCGATAGGTTCGGCAGCAACCTGCTTCTCGACAGGAGCTTTCTTGGAGAACAAGCCCATGATTGTGTCGTTCTAACGTCTGGCTATGCTGGGCGGATGATGTTGGCAGCGGCCAGGCTCAGATGCGTTGAGAGCAACAGAAAAGGGTGTCTTCTGTTGTCGTCCGAGAGAGTTTGATGCCGGGACGCAAGACCGCTGGTAGGCAGGGCAGATGCTGGGTCTAAGTATTACACGCCGAAAGCTGCGCGAGCTGGCTGGACAGTCGTGTAACCGCCATCGGCTCGGCGAGGGCAAGGCAAAGAATGGTTGACGGGTGGCACCACTAGTGTAAGGTCAGAGCTAGCTCTCCACCCCCACGCAGCATTAGCACCACTTTGTTCGTGTAGCTGTGTGTCCACCTAGAGCAAAAGAACCTTTAACCCCGAGTGGAATTTTGGGCTGTGGAGAGATCCATCGGATGTAAGAGCCAGCGGTGGCCGAGAGTGACTTTGCCCGCGTGGGACAGACTGTTGGAAAGGCCCAAGGCAGGAGAGAGCTGACCAGCGTTCCACTCGAATAGCCCAGGATGATTCAGTGGCAGAGTGCACGGGAAATCGTGGACACAGAATTACGAAATGGCGTCCAGTTTACCGAGCTGACTTTGCCCGGAACGTTGGGCGACTCGGACCATGTGGGGATCCAGGGAAGCCATCCCCCTGGAAGGCGTCCGGAAAGGAAGGGTTCTAGGTTGTATTCCTTGCTTGGGACCTTGGGTTCCAACGGGCAGAACAGACGGATGCACAGGGCACGCAGGCGGTAGGCGTGTGAATCGGAGCTAGGGTGGCAGTCAAGTGAGCCGATGCGCCGAATGAAGTTCTAGCTGCAGCTCGGTTACCAGAGTCGGTTCACTGGCACGACTGGTTGTCGCATCTTGGCGCTGGCGGAGGGCCTCACATGTCAGATTGCCCGGAAACCAGTTTGCGTGGCCGTAGGCATTCGTCCTGGGGCGCACATCGGGATGAGGTATATAGAAGCTGTGCTAGCGGATCTTGGAGGGAGAGATCGTCGCGCGATGAGCCTTTCATGGTGTCCTACGCGTGGCGAGACCCGAGGAGCAAAGTGATGGAGGGTTGTAGTGGTAGGATCATTAATCGCGAGATGCTTGCGCTTGTTGCCTTGCATGAATCGTTGGGTCGTCTACTGCCCTGTCTTTCTGTATGGCTTTCTCTACAAACAAACGTTGGTAAGGTAGATCGAATCGGGATGATTAGGGAGGATGCTCTACCTTGGATCCGAGAGACACTGGAGGCTATCGGGGAGATACAGAAGTCCTTTTTGCCTTCCAGATTGCGGGGCCCGGTGGTGGTCCTCTCTTCCGGACAATTCGTCGTGATTCGGCAAGAGAATTAAGGATGAAGAAAAGTTTGACTTCAAGCATGACCAGGGCCGAGGTGTAGCGGAGAAAGATGGAAACAGCCAGTCATCGCCACCGTAGGACAGTCGGAGGAGGGAAAGAGGGGACGGATGGGATTAGATACATCTGAGATGTCACTCCTTCCAGTTTAGCAACTCGGAAGGTGCCATTGCCTAAGGTACCTGCCACGCACGGCTGGCGGACGTTTTGGTCGGGAACGGGAAGGAAAGAATGATGCGTGGATGCCAACAGTGGAAGCGTGTGCCTGCTAGGAAGGAATTTGTCACTTTCCAGCGCGTCCAAGTCGGTAGGAACAAACACCAAGGCAGAAGGAACCGAAGGAACCCCACTGTTGCCCACCCATTTCCAGGGAAGGAGGTCCTCAAAAACTGGCCATTGGTTGGTCCATCGCCTGTGGTGTCATTTTAGGCTGTGGGGCCATTCCAATGGCGCCGAAGCAAATTTTTATCTGATGCCGCCCCGTTTTTTCTAATCTTATCAGATCATCTCGCTGCCTCAGGAAAGATATGGCATCTGCCAGTTCCGCCTGAACTTCCAATTTGCACCTATTCCCGTCTCGTCGCCCAGTGACACAAAGATTTCCTCCTCTTGATTGTCCAATCTGTTACTCCGCCCAGGAATTTACACGACGGCCAGCTGATCCCACCGAAGTCCCACTCTGCAACGTAGGGCTGGACGTCAATGACCTCTCCATCCTGGGATGGGCACGCGCTGCCAGCCTGCCATCTTGCTTGCTTGCATCCGCATACCTGGAGCTATTACCGTCGCATTGCGGTCCGATCTATGTAGCATTCTGCCAGCTTCACTACCAGAATGACCCGGTTGCCCAGCCTTGGCCTTGGCTTTCAGTACCTGTGCAACTCTCCATCCCGTCCTGTCACCTTATTAGAGTTGACCTTGGCGCGAACATCCCGTTCCGATGCTGCCGCGCTGTAATCGAGCTTCATCCACTGGCGGAAGTCATTCGTTCTCGTTTGCTCGTCTACCTGTCTGTTATTCGAGACCCAAGAGCAGTCTGATACTGGTCAAGTGCGCGTCCCGACGAGTGTCTCTCTACCGCGGCTGTGTAAAGACCCGACTATCAGCCCTTCAAGCTTACGAGTATTCTTATTACGGATGCTCCGCCGGAATTTTGCTGTGCCGCAGGCGAGAAACATCAAGATCCTGCTTGGGTTCTCCAATGACTAACAAATACCTACACTGCCTTACATCGGACCAGCAGGCCGCCTATGCACCAATGGCATTTCTTCGCGCCTTTCACGGCACTTTATCATACCTAGTCCACAGATACTCTTCGTCTGGCTGCGTGAGCGATGTCTCAAACTTCGCTGGAATTCCAATCCCATTGCTCGGATTCCGACCGAATAAGGTAGTTACAGCTTGTCAATGGCGCCTGCAGCAAAGACGGCGGTCTCGAGTAGAAACGCCACATGATGCTAAGCGTCAGACACCCTGACTCTTTATTTTCAGGGCAAAATCATCGTCACTCGCGTCTTTCTGCTTACAGACACTACATGGGAGTGGCGAGGCTCCAACAATCACACAACAGGACGGACCCCCAGTGACACTTTCGAGGCTACTGCATACGGTCTCCCACCACGGAACCGAGCTGTTGGGCCAAGCATGCCAACCCGCCCGTATCCGTAGGAGAACCAGCTAGGTCAGTGGCGTCACATTAGTGCCATGTTTTGCAACCCTCATAGCTCCATGCTACATTTTCCACTCATAGAGCTTTCCTGACCTAGGCCGGACCCACAGATCTCTGAGAGGTGGTCTGCCTGTAAGCACGATCAGGGGACTTTGAATTGGGACGAAAATCTCTCTTCTAGCACTTGACTAGCATGAATCCACAGTCGGCCGCTGCTAGGATCGATCCTTGAGCTACTCTTACGGCCGCCAAGCTCGGTTTGCCTAGCTGAGACTCTTTTCCGATTACCGCCGAGGCAAGAGCCGCCGAGAAGCCAGTCCTATGCCTAGATGCCAGCCAACAAGCAGCACAAGGATGTTTCCGTGCCCACTTGCGACATCGGCCCACCATCAGGTAGACCATCGTGGGGGCGAGTGCTTACACCTTTGACTGTCTGACAACATATTCATAATCGGAACGTCAATTCCGGCATTTTCCTCCGGAGAAAGCTGTCAATGGAGGCCTTGCCATGCAGACTCTAAGAGACACATCGGGTCTCCCGATGATACGAGGCCCGTCTACTAGTACATCATCCTTGATCCGTCCTGCGTTACCAAAGATCTTTTCCACAGTATGCGCAATGCAAAAATTACACTCGCTTCCAATCCAGTGTTACGCGTCTTTATCGTCGTCTTGTTTGAAATACAACCCCAAGTTAATTTCCAGTAGCGCAGAGCGAGATGAAGTTGTCATGCGAAGATTGAGACATGGAGACGAGAAGGCTGGCTTTTTCCAGAACATCGATCGATACGCCTTCATGCCATTGGAACTTCCTCTAAAGGCAAGCAGTATTATGTCCATCGTTCTGTACCGGCATCTCTTGGTAGGAGAAGTATGCTGAAACTGTGGTTTCTCAAGGCAAAAGTTTGCCTCAAGGTACCACCACTATCGTTCGGAGTGCAGGCTCTGAGAATGTATCTTTGTTCATCACTCGCCTAGTCTAGATTCTGGGCAATATGAACACACTTTATTTTGGATGTTTCGGTCTGGAGCGCGTCAGGCCTCGACTGGAGCCACATATCTTTGCAAATGTTGCCAATTTGCTATCTAAGCTATCAGCTTCAAGGTCCACAAATCCGAATCGCTTGGAGAAGTCGACTCTCTGTAATGGCTTTCAAATCCATACCTCAGGCGGAGAGACGCCAACTACAAGGTCATAACCCACAGGTACTATCGATATTCATATAGTGCTTATCACGTTGTAATGAGTAACGGGATCATGCTCTTGCGGAATGCCAATCAGTTCCCATCTGTCAGACGTGGGTAGTGTCACCATTTCCAAGCCAGGTGCAAATTGCGGACCGATGCACTAGCAACAGCTAAAGAAGAGAGCGTCTCTGGAAGGTGAAGGTGGCCTGACAGGTATACTACCTGCACAAATTGAGCCATATTGATAGCACGACTCGCAGTTTCCAGCTGTATCCCGACTTCGTCCATTTTCTCAGCGAGTCATTGTCAGCTTTGAAAGTCTGTAAAACTTCAATTTGAGCTTGAGACATAGACGACACCATATGCAACTTATCTGCCAGACTAGAGTGCCAGACTAGAGTGCCAGACTACAATGTGGGGGCGGCGCGATCTCCCTGATAAGTTTGGACTTATTAATACATAGTACCGGCGTTCCTCGGAGAGCCGGGTACTTGAGCGAGGGTCTTCCGAGTTGCATTCCGGTCCGATGGCCCCACCCCGACCGGCACCCGATAATAACGCTCAAAGTCGATGGCTTGTTCTATCCACAAAGTCTAGAAAGTCCGACATCAAGCAACTTTAAAGACGCAATTGAAGCTTCGTTGGTACCAGGCATACCACGTGGGCTGGACATCAGACGTTCTAGGTCTTCATGAGCTCTCCAGTTCCCCGCGACGGGTTTCGAGAGGGGAGAGTGATGTCATGACGACATGGGCCTCAGCCGACACGTCCCCACGCGGCTCGACTGCGAATGATGGGCAAGCTTCGCGGGGCTACGTCATTCTATGCACGTTCTCGAACTTTAGACGGCGGAAGAAGGTCTCTCCAGGTAAATAAGCAAATCAGTCTTGGATGTATACGACTTAACTACGATGCATACCTGAACAACTTGATCCTCGAGAGTTCGAAGTCATAATATCTCTCACACATGGGACAACGCCCTCGCCAAAACGCACAAACGCAGATCGAGCGCTACTTCAACATGGCAACACAAGCCGGCGAAAACAAGTCGCATCCGACACCATCCTACACCAAGCCCGACCACATGGATCAAGAAGGGAACAGGCAACCAGCACGGCAACAGCAGCCAAAGGCAAAACCACCGCACAAGACCGAAACAGAAGAGAGGATCGAGAACGAGACTCCCCGGTTGAGTACTGGGGCTTCAGCATCCATGTCGGAGTCTAGCTCACAGCAGGACGGAGTCCAGTACGTAACGCGAAGGTCAAGAAGTAAACGACACGATCCAGCCAAGCAACACGGACAAGTTGCGCAACAGCAGGTTGGACCCCAGAACCAACAAAATCAACAACTTCAGACCAAGTCCAGCAGTGGAGCGCCGTCGGTGAAGCTAGATATGAATTTGGATGTCGACATTGATCTCAAAGCGAAGGTCCAGGGCGATATAACGCTTTCTGTGTTGTAAGTTCAAGTAGTTCTCAATATTTTCCCAAAATTGTAGTGTAGATTTGTTTGAGTAACCTTAGTCCAGAGGAGGAAATCAAAACAAGAAATGATTTATCAAGCCCCAAGAGAAGAATCGCGACAAGTCATATGAATAAGCGTGATTATTCGAACAAATGCTAGACGGCGCTTGTACATGGAACGTAGACATGGAGGGCAACAGCGAATCATTTGATAGTCCGTCCCAACTTCCCTGATTTTCGCAAATCCGAAAATCCATAGAACCCAGGACTCCAAAACGACTGGAAATGCCTCTTATTTACTAGCACCATGCAAATGACAGTCGATGGGATATGTCAACAACAACCAACCGCAAACGATGTCTCATTCTACAGATCTTGATTCTCGTCCCGGTATAATTTGGACATCCAACGATATCCGAACGTGGCATATTCCACAAAATTCCTCAAGATTTCTCAAATGTTCTCCTAAGATGCCACTGATCCCATATCGGTAGGTGTGAAGAGGAGATCGATGTCGCACGCACCTTCAACCCGTCTCATGTCAAAAAGTCTGACAGCAAATCCACAGTCCTAGCATCTCGGATTGAAACGCCGTCAACGATCAGGACCTAAGTGGTATGCGACGTATGACCACCACGCAACAACATCTCACTGCACGATGGGATACATCTTTCTCTGACGAGCCTGGAAGACAGTTGTAAGGGGCCCTGTACCAAAGGAAATTTCCACTTATGCTTACCCAAGATTTTGCATCACGGCGAAGATCTCATCGATGACATCTTATCCAGGTAGAGCACGTAGGTCACTAAAAGGGGATTCACTGACTGTGGCGCCTTACTTTTGGCAGTGTGGCAAGAAAAAGAAATGAACAGGAATGACATCGGGGTCACCCCCAACCCCTCATCCAAGGGCTCACATACTTCTTGCACTACCCCTTGCATATCAGACCCAGAATGAGGAGCCATAAGATGTACGTGGCATCACGTTCACTCGCTTGTAGTTGCGTACTACCCTTGATGGCGCTACTACGATGCGGCATGTATTTCCAATTATTTCAGCAGCGGCAGATACCTCGGCACGTCTTGCCGAGAAGAAGCATCAAGCTGCGATTATGTTCGGGCCGGTCCACAGAGGAATAGTCATAGATCTATGTCACTTACTTTCCACCCTAACAAGGAGGCAGTCGAATGATGCTCGGGATTTTGCAAAGCATTCAACAGACCAGCTCTCCGAAGGTGAGCAAAACTGTCAGCCTTGACCGGCAAGGCATTTCACAGACCGGATGTTCTCATTGTCCCATAGTCCATGTCAGTGAATCGCACACTTTTTGGCAGGGATATAGAAAAGGGTAAGGCAGGATATCGACCGCAAATACCGGCGTCTAGCTTGTATCGCAGGGATGGTCTAGCGTCTACAGCCAGAGACTAGCCGAAGCTTGATCATGCGAACTAGGATACTTCCGAGATACGGAGTCAGAATCGACGAGTCTCGAAGTCTATGCTCATACGATGAGATGGAGTAGTTAAATCATGAAAGTCCCACCATTACTCATGGCCAAACCGATTGACAACATAAGTCACCACAACTAATTCCTGCAAACTGAATCCATCCATGCTTCATTCACGCTTCCTTTCTATCACCCTCGATGATTGCGCGAGATTCTGACCCGGGGATTTATCCCCTCGAAGTCCCGGCTATACTGTTCGGTATCACTATAGGCTTAACAATGCTGGCAACTTTCAAGGCATCGCAGCAGACCTTTCAAATTTACTCAAGAACAAAGTCGGCGACCAAATTGTACCCTTGGATGTGAGTTACTCGAGTCTATTTGAGTCTCTGTTCTGACGTACTCTACCTAGGATCTGGATCTTCCTCCTCACCAATATCTCTCAAGCAGTAACGAATTGGCTCCTAGCTCACGGAGACTTTGTAAAAAGGTAGGACGTCCCGCCCTATTTTAACCTGTCTGCTCGTCTTACTAGCTGACGGGTGGCAGCATTGGTTCCAGTATTGGAAGCTGTATGCTCTGGATTTTACAAACACAACTCGCTCCCCAAATCCTTGCGAATCGACTAGGGCTTCTCCTAGTAGATAAAAAACGGGCAAAAATGATGAAATTTGGGTTGTTGGTCATAGTTGGGGTCATTAATATCTCAGTGACCTGCATATACATTGCAGGGTACTCCATCAACCCGAAATATTTCACTCATCTGCACAAGATCTGGGACCCTATCGACAAAGTTGTTGATTTACTAATCGACATTTCACTGAACACGGTATTCCTACGGATTATTCAACATGAGTTTGTTGCCGACGGTCTTCAAAAGTACCGACTATTATTTTACTGCGGGGTACTCTTCGTATTGATCTCGTTATGTATGGATGTAAGTTGCCCGGTGTGCACAACGATACAACGATATGACTTGACTACAGTTACTCAACTACAAAACCCTATATGGAATGTTAATGACTTTTCTTCCAATCAAAGATTCTCATGATTGTCATGATGACTGTACAGGAACCGTACCTCTACGCTATGACTCACCCAATGGCCTACACTATGAAATTGATTATCGAAATGACGATGGCGGATTTGATATCGTCGATTGCAAAAAGACCACACCAAATGCAAGAGTTTTCGGAACAGATCTGTGTGAGTTAGTGTTTAGTTCTCCTAGCCAGAATCATTCTCTCTGTCGACTGAACAGTGTTGCGAGACCGTGCTATCGATAAGGTAGCTTGTTACTACACCCTTCCGTCAAAGCCTTTCAATCAAGTATGGGTGAGGGACTGGTCTCTTGCGGTTTCTGTAAATTAATTTGGTCAACATGGCATCAGCAATTGAATAGCATCGTATTCATGACAAAGACTGCCACCTGCTATTCAATTTCTAAGTAAGCACCCAATAATAACCAACTAGTAATGCATGGATGCAGAAGACGCACTTATCTTGGTTTCCTGTCGCCAACTTTGGAAACGTTGGTCCTAAGTAAACGTGCTGCTTAATGATTCAATTCACTCATGTAGTTTTCGTCAAACTCTTCCAATTTACTGCAGTTGTATCGCGCCACATGCGTGATGACGGTGTCCCATTAGTATCTCGACTCATTGCCAGCAACTGTCCAGCGTTTTCGGGGTGATTAAAGTATGAACGCCGAGCTTACAGGTATCCGCAAGTCTTGCAAATCACTGAGCACAGAGTCTCCAGGGTTCCCCTCTGTGCTACGCGAATCTGGCCTTGTCACCTTCGTGTGGAGTGGATGCAACCTCGAAATAGCATGTGGAAGCCCTTGAAAATGGCATGAGAACTGCACAACCAGCCATACCTAATCATCTATCCAAGCCTAATGATTCGCCAGAGCAGCGCTGATCCCCACGGGGCACCTTAGTTGCTTTTGAAATCGCTGTCTACGCGTTATCCATCACCTTAGCCCTATTACAGACCTGCGTCCGGAGCGTGTCCCCTCCCACAGCAAATAAGGCCGAAGCAAGGTGGGACAGACTCCGCAAGTAGTCAGCGAGATGTTGCATCGCCGACCGGGATAGAATTGAATATGTAACCATTGACTGCCAAATGGAGTTGGCGAGGTTTATTAGTGCTCACTCTTCGGACTGACCTAGTGGCCCTGCTTCTGGCAATTGCAACACGGGAGCCCGATAGCCTGGCTGATCTAGTGCTCAGGGGTCTTGATGCAAGAATCGTATTTAAGATGCAAGCGCGCAGCACAAAATTCGCTGACGGGAGTGAACCCCCCCGAAAGATTTCTGCTTCTCCATCGTCGAACAACAAATAAGCGACCATGGAGATATTTTCGCTTTCGATCGGATTTTTCAGTCTTCTACTCATCTCATTCGTCGTTGAGAGGGTCTTGAACAAGTTGAAGAATGGAGTGCGACCCCCATTGCCCCCCGGCCCCAAAGGTTTGCCGATTGTGGGTAATGTGAACGATCTACCCAAACCTGGCGAATTGGATTACGTTCACTGGTTGAAGCATAAGGAGTTATATGGTCAGTTCTGGTATTGAATGGTGATGGCAAGATATCCATTATCAGAGAGAGGGTGTGATTTCATCGTTTAGAGGACGTAGCTAATTTGCTTGTCTTAGGTCCCATTAGTTCCATCACAACCATGGGCCAGACAGTTGTGATACTTAGTGATCCACAACTTGCCTTTGATCTCTTGGACAAGCGCTCATTGAAGCATTCCTCAAGACCTTCACAAACGTTCATTGGCGAGATGTATGTGTATTGGAGTGTCTTGCGGATCCGTGGAAACCTCTAACAGGAAGAAAGGGTCGGTCTAGAGCACATCACCGGCATGGCGGTCTATGACGAACGGTTCCGCGCACAGCGCAAGGCCATGGGCCGGATTCTCGGCTCAAAGATGGCTGCAGCAAAATACAACCAGTGGCAAGAGGCCGAAGTCGGGCATCTTCTTCTGCATCTACTAGATAGCCCGCAAAACTTTATAGAACATATCAAGAAGTAAGCGGAAAGATGGATTATGTCAAAGTCGTATAGTGGCTCTTCGCTAACCAAATCATGCAGGGAAGCCGGTTCCCTCATCCTCAAGATTACGTACGGCTACACAGCTGAACAGTTCAAGAAAGATCCCTTTCTCGAGATGATTACCGAAACCATGGACAACTTTTCGACGGGCGCTACGCCTGGTGCCTTCTTAGTTGATGTTTTCCCCTTTCGTCAGTCTCGCGCCATGTTCCTGCCCGAAACACCCCTTGTCCTAACTCTGAGCAGTGCGATATCTACCCAACTGGGTTCCTGGGACCGGTTTCAAACAGCTCGCAAAGGAATGGAGAGCCCAGATGGAGGAGACCAGAGACAAACCGTATGCCTTCGTCCAACATCAAATAGCACAGGGCAAGGACAACTCGTCTTATTTGGCCAACCTTCTCGACTCTCCTGAGCAATCACTATTCGACCAACACAACCACAAACACTCAGCGCTAGCTGTATTTGGAGGAGGTGCAGACACGGTGAGTGGCTCGGTCAATTCTATTGTGAGCTCCGCATTGTAGCAAACACTGCATACTAAACATCCTACAGACGGTATCGACAGTCGCATCCTTCTTCCTGGCGATGATGGTGTACCCCGACATCCAGAAGAAGGCCCAGGAGGAAATCGACAGAGTTATTGGGAGTGGAAGATTGCCGACTACTAAAGATCGGGAGAACCTTCCTTACATCGAAGCTCTCGTGAAAGAAATTATGCGCTGGCACCCTATTGGCCCCATGGGCCTGCCCCATTCTAGCACGGAGGATGATGTTTTCGAGGGCTACTTCATTCCGAAAGGAGCCATGGTACTTCCCAATATTTGGTAAGTCTGTCAACATGTTGAGATAATCACATTGGCTGAGACAAGTCTATAGGTGGTTCACTCATGACCCAGAGCGGTACCCCGACCCGATGAACTTCAAGCCCGAGCGCTTCCTTCAAGGTGACGGACACGAGCCTGAGGCGGACCCTCACAAGTTTGTCTTCGGGTTCGGCCGCCGAATCTGCCCCGGCCGCATCCTCGCCGATAACTCCATTTTTCTTAATATCTCTCAGTCACTTGCCGTGTACGATTTTGCCAAGCCGATCGTCGACGGCAAGGTCGTTGAGCCGGAAGTCAGGTTCACTACGGGCGTCATCAGCCACCCGCAGCCATTTGAGATCTCCATCAAGCCTCGATCTGCCAAGCACGAGACTCTGATTCGCTCAATTGAAGAGACTTATCCGTGGGAAGAGAGTGATTCCAGAATCCTCGAGAGGATAGAGGTTTAGACGATATCCGGTGGCTTGCCTTTCGCGTTTACGGCCTCGCTTACGATCGTGCCCAAATTGCCAAATTGCCATGTTGATCGACGGGGTGTCTTTCCAGAGGAGCTGGGCTTGATGTATTGGGAGTTCAATGAATGCCCTCGAATTAGCCTGTCGTATCAATGGAAAGTTGGCGTCACGCAGCACTATCATACCGCAGGGTGATGTTCTACGAAACCGTACTCTTGGCTTCTGTTCCTCTGGAGTTATCATGCGTCATTGTAGAAGGTCTTCTCCGGATACGAAGTGAGCACTTGCGCCGACTGCTTATCAAGTTACACATGCCTGTCGTTACGAGGGATCTAGAGCCAGCTGGGGTCGTCTTTGGCTTCTTTGTGTTGCCGATGACTGCGGTATTGCTTTCGTAATCTGACAGGGCATCATTACCCTAAACGTGTCCCTTCGTATCCTTGACTAATCGATTTCTCCATCTTCTCAACAATTCAGGACTTTTGGTGTACAACTCTTCGAAAGCTGCCACGAGTAGGTACCTACCTATACAGAAACAGGTCGTCATCTCCAACTCGCTGTGAGCTGTGCTAGGTAGGGTAGTCAAGGAGGAAGGAGCAACTTACTGCTCATCATAACAATACTTCACCGCCAGTCAAGGAATTACACGCTCGATACCTTAATTTCCTTATCGAATTCGAGCACAGCCGCATCACCTCCATCATTACGAAGTTTAGCGTCCCAGCTACGGCCATCGCGTCTTTAACCCTGACTTCACCTCTGAAAACTCAAGCGCCGGAGTAGGGAAACGTTGGTGTTCGGAACACTCAGTACGATCGCGTTATAGCAAAGATGGCGGCTAAACTGCTGGTGAAATTTGACCGGCCTTGGGGGTAAACGAAAAAATTCAGACAGTTCGTAATTGAATGAAGTTAGAAGTTCACCTGCAGGACACATGTCTCCTTTGAAGGGCAAGGAATAAATTTCGTACATTCTCAGCGCTATCGTAAGTAAAGTTTTGGGAGGAAGTGGCGGAGCAAAATAGTAAATAAGCAAGGGGTTCGGGAGGAAAATGAGGAGACCTACTATCAATCACCTTCGGAGTTTGAGTTGGATTTGAGTTGACAACCACCGATTGAGCACTGAGTAGCGTGACGATGCAACTCTGCAAGTCTTGGCTGCCAAAACAAGCAGACGCAAAGGAATAAGCATTTTCATGGGGGATCTATCGACCCAAATATGTTTAGGAGAGCCCAGCCCAAAATAGACACACAGACAGGTTGACAGGCTTGTTATTCCTTGTTTCAGTCAATTATCCCCGATTCCGCACCCTTTTTTCTTCACGGTCCCTATCGCATCCTGAGACGCGTAAGTCCACCAGCCCCCCACAACTTTTCCACAGCTTCGTTCCCGCTAAAGACCGAAAAGGAGAGGGAACCAACTCGAGTTTGGATAGGGGTGGATCGTCATCGCGAACGAAGATCACCCCACCACCCGCAGCACGCTAAGACGGAAAGCCGACCGCGACCGTACGGTTCGTCGTCTCTGGAGCCGCCAGTCACGCACTCGCGGCAGTCTACCCCCAGACCCCGGTGAGCGTCGTACGCAAAATTGCGGCAGCCCGGAGTTCACGGCTTCTCATTTCTACATGTCTGTTTCAGTCTCAACCAACCCATACTTGGAATTCTAGCACTAGAAGAACCACCGCATCTAGAACCAAACAATTGAACAACTAATAGAGCCTTAGTGCGAAACCGCCGAAATCGTCTTAACAAGATGGACCCCGAGATCATGCCAGTGGGTTACGTGGTTACATGCGCGTCAGCTACAGACGTCAGCTGTGGAGAGAGGGAAAATTGAAAATGGACCCGCGTTCTTGCACAGCCCTTGTGATGGAATACCCTTTAAGCTCGAAGACTCTTCCGCCCTACCCTGAGGGGCCACCCCTTCGGCGTGCGGTCTCGTTTATGTCTACGTCGTTGCCGTTGTTACTGTCGTTGTCGTTGTTGATGCCAAGCTTTTGCGAATAGCTCGGCGCTGCAATTCGGATCTCTTGTCGCTCATTTATATCGTCTACTAGCTGAACAAGTCGAGATGAAACCAACATTAGGACTGCCGGCTTTGGCCGTGGGGTTGAATTTGGCGAGCGTCAGTGCTATCGATGTCTCATGGACAGATGAAGGTAGGGTATTTGCGTTTGCCGAGTCGTCTTGCCTTGGCTAACCTATTGCGATGTCAGACTCAATAAAGAGTGCCGCGAGCACGGTCGCATATGGGCTCGTAAAATACTACACTGGTAACAATACTGGCGATACCCCTGGAAACTTACCAGATCCCTATTACTGTAGGTCTAGTCCATAACATTGTCATGGACCTCGTGTTGACAGTTTCAAGGGTGGGAGGCCGGTGCCATGTTCGGGACATTGATAGACTACTGGTGGCTCACGGGCGATGACTCTTACAACACAATCACCACGCAAGCCATGCTGCATCAAGTGGGCGACGACAACGACTACATGCCACAGAATCAAACCCTTACAGAAGGAAACGATGACCAGGGCTTCTGGGCAATGGCCGCCATGTCCGCCGCCGAACACAAATACCCGAATCCGCCAGAGGACTCACCGCAGTGGCTCGCCCTGGTCCAAGCCGTCTTTAACGAGTACGTTAGTCGATGGGATACGGAGAACTGTAACGGCGGTGTGCGATGGCAAATCTTTACGTGGAACGCCGGTTTCGACTACAAGAACTCCATCTCGAACGGGTGCTTTTTCAATGTGGCTGCGCGCCTGGCTCGGTACACGGGGAACACGACATACTCTGACTGGGCAGAAAAGGTCTGGACATGGCAGACGGACGTCGGACTGCTCACATCCGATCACGAAGTACTCGACGGCGTTCACTTTGAGGGAAAATGCCCCAGCTCCACCGACAGCACAAAGTGGTCCTACAACGCCGGCATCTTCCTCTACGGCGCGGCGGTGATGTACAACATTACGGGGAGCGACACGTGGAAGACCCGCCTCGACGGCATGCTCACGGACGTGCAGACGGCGTTTGTCCAGAACGACATCATCTACGAGGCTTACTGCGAGCCGACAGCGCAGTGCAGCCAAGACGCGCAGAGCTTCAAGGGGTATCTCGCGCGCTGGCTGGCCGCCACATCGCAAGTCGCCGCGCACACCGCGGACACCATCACGGCGCTGCTGCTTTCGAGCGGGAAGAAGGCGGCAATCACCTGTTCGGGGTCTCCCGCTTCGGGGTTCAAGGGCCATGCGGGGACCGCGTGCGGATTCTCGTGGCTGAATGAGACTTTTGATGGGATCGTGGGCGTGGGACCGCAGATGACTTCTTTGCAGATGATCATGTATAACCTAGTCGGATCGGCTGAGGCGCCCGTCACTGCTACTACGGGGGGAAACTCCACGGGCGATGTAAATGGAGGAAAAACTGATGATGGGTCGGGGTCGTCAAATTCTCTTAAGGCGATCACTACCGCGGACAAGGCCGGTGCGGCCATCTTGACGATAATGGTTTCGGCCAGTGTTGTTGCCGGTAGTGCCTTTCTCATCATGTAGGAGAAGTCTTGTGTTAGTCATTCAGCGAGTTTTTATTTCTTTGAGCAAATGCGAAAGCGAACCCACACCGAGGTGAATCATTCGGTGAAGTACTAACACATGACCGATATGGCTTGACTTGGTGCCAAGGATTTTGAAGCGGAAATGTGAAAGTTTAGTATGCAGGCTCGGCATATCCTGCTCGTGTCGACTGCTTTTTGGCATGTGTTTCGCCTCTGTTTCCCCCTCCGGAAGCGGGGAAGACAAATGCAGTGGGCAAGGTCTCCCGAACTAAACATATTCAGCTTCATGGATTTCGTCAGAGATCTGTGCTGACGCGAAACGAAACTAAGATCGATGTTACGGTACCCTGAGTACCTACGGAACATGTACGCAGTAGACTTTATCAGATCTTGCATGCCGTACATACGTCCGAACAAGCCTTCTCTTAAGGAAAGCATGCATAGCACATGGGGGAAACGTGTCTGTTGATACAACCAGTTGGCTTACTACTTGCATAACGGTAAGATGGTTCGGCCGATTGATAGCAGTCGAAGGAGTTAGTTTTTGGGAAACTGGTCACCAACGCGAATGGTCGCCTTGGGTCATGGGCAGACTTACACAGACCGTTGTAAACCTTTGGTTGGAGACTTGAGAGTCAAGAGTCTTGGGCGCCGTTCTCGGAGATATCGGACATGTCGTGCACCGACCGCCGGCGAGTGCTCATCGTCTCAACCCATGAGGGCCCGAGCCAGGTCGTGTTCCATGCTTGCCAGTCAAGTTGGTAGTCAATGATGTCGTACGTAAACCGGCGGGAATTACCCAACTCGTAATCAGTAGATAGAATTGACCTCCTGTTTTGTCGATTGACAACGCAACGTAAAGCCGAGTATGCAAGATCGTTTTTTCCGAGAAGCTCGGAGGTACTGGCCGACACCGGGTTCTCACCGAACTTCACCTGGGATGGGTGTGTCATTCGAGTCGGGGTCTTTCGGTGAGCTGATCACAGCCTCTCCCGAGGTGAGCTGAGCCAATGGGAAGCGTCGCATTGCTGGCCGTGGCCGATGCAGGCGCCCCGCCCCACCCACCGGCTTGCCGGTCTAAGCTCCGACCTCGATCGGTCCTCCCCCCCTGCTATTCCCATGCTCCCATGCTTTTTTTCCCTCCCACTTCATTCTATTCCCGCGCACTGAGGTTGACTGGCATTCGTGCGCTCCAACGTTGGCTCCCGTCCATCTTCCAACCCCCACCTACCTTTACCCTTACCTTACCTTAGCTGGCTGCTGCTGTTGCGGGTGCTGCTGCGCCTTTCAGTCGCCTGTCTTGTCAAGCCTAACCCACTAATCCCAACAGTCCTGCAAGAGTCACCGAACGACAGCTTCCAACGCCAATCGACGAAACACCAAGCGACCAATTTCACAGCTTACCGCCTTTTCAGATAGGCTGCTGTGATTCTGACATGCTCTAGGCTCGATCCTTGTGTCACGGCTGTTGTCTCTGGGTGGGTAAAGCTGGAGCCAAGAGCAAAACAGCGTTGCAGGATCGATCCCCCGCCATTTGTCAGCCTTCTCAGCTCTGGTCGCCAAACTGTGTGTGTCACCATCGCACTCTGTCGAATCCTATCCCTCAAACCCCAACTCAAACCTTCGTGAGCCTCAGTCTCTTCTTCGACTACAACCGCCACTGCGAACGATCAAATCTCTCTTACGACGTCTGCGTCCCCAGACATCCGACGGACGGCCGACAAAACAGACGCCATGGACAACTTCTCGCCGACAAGTCAACAGTCGAACCCCACGACGCCAGCCAACGCCATGAATGCCAACCCCCACCATTCGCCAAACTCCCCGACCATTCACGACTTTCCTGCCCTCAGCCGACATGGGGCGACCTCTATACCTCCTGATCAACCCGTGGCTATGACGGCCTCCGGCCAGCCAGCCCTCAATCCCCGAAGCTGCGTCACCTGCCGCCGACGAAAGGTCCGCTGCGACAAGCAAATGCCGTGCAGCAACTGCCGCCGCGCCGTCATCCAGTGCATCTACCCGGCCCCCGGCCGCGCCCCTCGCCGTCCCAGACCGAAAGATCCGAATGCGCCGCCCAAAAATTCGAGCGAGCGCGAGGTGGAGCTAATGAAGCGCCTGCGCAAGTTGGAGGGAATCGTTGAGGAGCTCAGTGGCCAGATCGAGGTCGAGAGCGGCACAGGGAGCAACAGCGGTCGCCAGAACTCGAGCACAGGCAATTCGCCCGAGGCTTTTGGTAACGACCTGAGCTCCGAACGCGCCGGTAGCACTTCCAGCGGCGCTGCTGTCATGAGTGCATTCAAGGAGGCCGTGACGCCCAACAGGATGGAGACGGATCCAGAACCCAAGAGGCCTGTAGAGAGGCAAACAGGCATAAGCAGGTCGTTTGGCCGGCTTGTGCTTCACGACAAGGGCAAGACGAGTAGATACGTGAGCAGCGCATTTTGGTCCAAGCTCAATGACGAAGTGAGTCACCCGAGTCATGTTTTGTGCCAAGGTGCTGACAAGGATGCTATAGCTTGACGAGCTTCGAGAAGAGACGCATGCGTTGGATCAAGATACCGATGATTCAGATGTCGAGGACACGCCAGATCACTCTCCAATACAGGATACCGACGCCGCGACGGACCATCATGCCTTTATCCTGGGATATCGGTCTTCCGATGTCGACTTGCGCAAGCTGCATCCCTTGCCATCTCAGATACCCTTCATGTGGCAGGTTTACCAGGAGAATGTGGAACCGTTGCTCAAGATCTTGCATATCCCGACCATGGAGAAGCTCATTCGCGACATGCGACGCAATATCGACGAGCTGACTGCCGGTAACGAAGCGCTGCTGTTTTCCATTTACTATGCAGCAATCACATCCATGGAAGATGAAGAGGTAAGTCCATATCATGTCAAACATCCATCACACTTGACGATGACTAACCAGTTCACAGGTGGAGAAGAACTTTGGATCAAAGAAGGAGGAGATGCTCTCACAGTATCGCTTCGCCCTCGAGCAGGCACTCGCAAAGGCCAACTTCCTCAATACCTCCGACATGGTTGTCCTCCAGGCTTTTGTCATGTTCCTCACGCTGGTCCGCAGGGAGGATGACACCCGATTCTGCTGGACGCTGACCGGATTGGCGATCCGTATCGCACAAGGACTGGGGATCCATCGGGACGGAACAAACTTCAATCTTCCCCCCTTTGAGACTGAAATGAGACGTCGCTTGTGGTGGGCTATCTGCACCTTGGATCTTCGCTCTGCAGAAGAGCTTGGCAGCGATCTCACCATCATCGACCGATCGTTTGACACCGAACTGCCCTCTAATTTGAACGATTCAGATATTGAGCCGGGAATGACAGAGGTTCCCAAATCGCGCCTGGGCAAGACCGACTGCGCCGTATCGCTGGTGAGATACGAAATTTGCGCACTGTCACGGCGGTTACACACGGTGGGGTCAGCCATGGCTGGTGTCTGTCCCAAGGACGCTGCATCAAGTCTCGAGGAGCGCGAGCGCATGCTGATCGAAGTTTACGACCGTGTTGAGGAGAAGTTCCTCAAGCATTGCTTCACCGACGACGACCCCCTCTTCTGGATGGCGGCCATGATCGCCCGTGTTATCATGGCGAAGATGAGTCTTGTCATTTATCAACCGATGCTGTTCCCTGGCAACGGCCACGAACTATCCAACGAGATCCGCGACAGGCTCTTCATCTCAGCCATTGAAATCGTTGAATACAACTACATCCTAAACACAGATCCCCGCTGTAAGCAATGGCGGTGGCTTTTCCAGACCTACCGACAATGGCACGCGATTGCCTACATCCTCATGGAAGGCGGGCGTCGGCCATGGTCAGCAACCTCGGAGCGAGGATGGGAAGCTGTCAACAACACGATGCGATTCGACAGAGACCCATCTGAAATTTCGAGGATGGCAGATCATATGGCTGTATGGGTCCCATTACGGAAGCTAAGCGCAAAGGCGACGAAGCATCGCGAGGCGGAGATTGTCCGTCTCAGAGCCGATCCGGAAGCAGCACGCCAACTGGACGTGGACGATCGTATGAATCCCATCCCGGCCAGACTTGGACCAGTGCCCGGAATGGAGATCAAGCACCTGCAGATTCGCACCCGCTGGCGCAACCTGGTACGGACGGATGGCGGCTCAAGCCCGCTGCCACCGCCGGCAAACAACGTAACGCAAATTCAACCCGTGCAGCAGCAGCAGAGCGTAGCGCCCCGAGGTCCGGTTCCCCAGCCTGCGAACCCGACAGTTCAGGCTCCGACGCCCGCACCGCAGCAGAGGGAACCCGAGTTCATCGACACGGTAATGATGGCGCGCGGGTTTAATCCCAACCATATCTGGGAGTATATCTACCCGACGGCGGAGTCCATGGCAGCCGACCCGAATAATACGCTCTTCCCGCCCAACGCCTCGCAGCCGCAAGCGTCGCAGTCTATGATGTCTTCGGCAGTGCCATCGCCCGCAATGTCAACTGGACAGGGTCTTGATAACGATCAGCGACTCAAGCAGCAGGCCATCGCGATGCAGTCCCAACCTACGGTAGCGTCGTCTCTGGGGGACAACCAGCCTCCGTGGCTGTGGTCTGACCCGTTCACGTCCATCAACAATGTGCCTGTTGACTCCATGGACGTCAACATGGATAACTTGGATGACTTCAACTGGCAGAATTGGCAGGAGAGCATCAAGGGATTTGAGATGGATCCTGACAACATGCCCCAGAAGGGAGCATGGTAAAGATGTATAATGTTTCCGGTGTAGTATGTGCATGGTTTATTTTGGATATGGATTTTGGATGTCTCCTCTCACGCGAAGGCTCTCAGAGAGCTATGTAATGATACCCTATGGAAGCAGATGTAATGAATGATGAGATACTTTTCACACTTGGTGCGGCGCCTCGCATCAACTACGACTGGCGATTATCCACCCCATGCTTCATGGGTTTGCACCTCTCCGCCGTCACAGCATCCGCTTAAACCTCAACCCCGTCCGCCCACATCCACTCGACGCCGACCTAACCACCACCGCCATCTCCACGCCCTTGCCCTAAGAGCGGGCTTCTCGTCCACGAACCTCAACAATAACTTGGTCTGGTGGTGTAGTTGGTTATCACGTCAGTCTAACAGCTCGAGAGCCTCATCTCTTTCGTCTGCCACACTGAAGGTCTCCGGTTCAAGTCCGGGCTAGATCATCACATGGGCGATTGGTTTAGTGGTATAATGACCGCTTAGCATGCGGTAGGTCCTGGGTTCGATTCCCAGATCGTCCATCCTTTTTGAGGAACTTAGGTATGGGTTGTTGTGGTGATGTTGTGGTTGATGTTTTGAGGTTTTGGCTGTCTTTGGTGGTGATGGTAAGTGCTGTGTCGCAACGATAAGTGGTGTGAGGGGCTCTGTTTTTTCAGCGGCTTTTTTCCTTGCTTAATGTGCTCTACGTATCTTTTAGAATGTTGAAATCGATTAAAGAGCCATTGTTACAGATTGCAAGTGTACTCTTACCCACAGCCTGGAGGCGAAGTATGAACGAAGTGTATTGATGGGGTGAGATGGTGTCACCTCCAAGCGAGAACAAACACAGTTTGCCCAAGGCTGACCAGGCTGATTTTCCCAGGTGGCCCCGCAAACTGCAGCTATGCGACCAAGCCGATCAATACTTTTTTTACCCTTTACCAACGACCTGTGCCATCCATTCACCGGCCCAACAGATTGCGACCAACGTGAACAGCATCCCTTGTCCAACAAAGACGAAGCGAATACATTTGCCGTCCTGAATGTGCTCAATAGGTCTCGAGCCGAACAAAGAGCGATTCCAGTGAAGGGACCGTTTGGGTTTGGTATATGAGTCAACCTCTACCCTGGTGAATTACCACTCATTCTCCATCAGTTCAAGTCAGACCAGCTTCATCACCACGACGCTTGCAATCAAGAGATATCTCTTTCTTGTTTGAGCACTTTGAAAGCCTTGCGCTGCGAATTCTGCCTGTTCACTTCTTTTATAGCTTTGGAAAGGTCGCAGGGTAAACATGGCGGCCCCAACCCCCGAGGAGAACCCCAACTTCGTTCATACCCGCTCGGGCGTCTCGGCTATCATCGAGCGAAATGGCATGGTAATTGTCGGAAAGCGTTTGGGTAGTCATGGTGCAGGTGAGATCTGAAACCCACAGCCCTCATCACCAGAAGACATGATGGTGGCTGCCTTCAAAGTCATTCCCACGTTCCTCATAGTTCCGGCTGTTATTCAGTCGTGCCAAAACTTTGCTAGCCACTTCGCTCCGCAAGCTGACTAATTTGTGAACAAACAGGCAAGCTACAAATGCCCGGCGGACACATTGAGAAGAACGAGCATCCCTTCAAGTGCGCAGTGCGAGAGACGTTTGAGGAGACCGGTCTTGTTGTCAAAGCCATCAAGAAGGGGCCTTGGACAAGTGATGAGTTCGAGAACGAGGGGAAGCATTATATTACCACTTTTGTGTGGTGTAAGATGGAGGATGAGACTGCTGAGCCTGAGGTGAGTGGAAGAACGCCCAGAACCCTGCCCCGAGTCTCCTTAGTCTTGTGAATGAGCGAGGATGATATTTGGAAGCTTGAGGGAAGGCGAAGACATAGCTTGACTGACTTTCAGTTTAAATAGCGAAAGGAGAAGAATAAGTGCGAAGGGTGGGTGTGGAAGTCGGCGCAGGAGCTCAGAAATGACATCAATCAGGGCAAGGGGTTCAAGCCGCTGGAGAATCTCCTAGCAGAAGATGATGTTGAAAACGGCGTTTTTGAGCAACTTGAAAAGCGTGCTGAGGCCCACGAGAAGTCCGTTAAGCTAGCTAAGAAGGCTAAGCTCGCTGAGCAGACCCAGATCGATGAGCAGGCTACAGGCGTAGAAGAAGACACTGCGCAGCAGAGCGTCTAGACCTCGCATTGAACATCAGGGCCGAGAGATTTAGGGGCCTAGGACGTCAGCATTTGCTTTTACGTCATTGAAGTACCGCAATGACATCGTAAGAGAGAAAAAAGAAGAAAAGGAATAGAAAACCCAGTACATACTAAATGTCTTGCGCAAACAGGCGTAGAGTCTGCGAGAACCAGCGACAAAAATCGCAACATACCCGGGGGCGGCCCCGCGGTGTCATGCATGCATGATTTGCTCCTTCGGATATCTCGCACTTTGCCCAGAATACCCACAAGCACTTGTATCCGTAGTTGGGCTGATGGGATTACCTCGAATCATCAACAACCATGTACGGGATGGTGTTTGCAGATCTCACTGGGGCAGAAAATGGGCGGAGACGCAGCTACGGCTTCGAGATTCAAGCTTTCGGTGGTTGAAAAGTGGTTAGACTGAGCCCAGAGCCGGGCCATTGGGAACCAAAGTCCCTTTTCAAGCACCTTCCTGCGCTGCTGCGCGTGGCAATCGGGGATGGCTTGGGCCACTGCGGGCGAGAACTTTGGGAAAGGTAGTTGGGCTGATTCCCTGGATTGACGGAAAGGCTCGATGACGTCCCAATTGCTGTAGCTATGTGTGGGTGAGCGATGGAGGTGATGATGCGATGTGGAAGATGTTACCGCCCCCAATGCCTGTGATATCGATTCTCAAAGGAGGAGCCGAATCATGCTTCAAATTAACTGGCAGTAAGTCTACAGAGAAGAGGCGGACAGTGGACATGGACAAAGCAAGGGTAGATCCGCGGCAGCCCGGTACATCGTTCGCAAAATTCACTCAGCCCTGAATTGTCGAAATAAGAATGAAATATTCGTACTCTTTAGAATTCAGTTTTGGCCCCGAAGACCTCCGGAAGTACGGGCCCTACGGAGCACGGATACGAACAATTCAGCGAGTCTCAAGTCTCAGCGGCGGCCGACCCCTGTCCTCTTCTGACGGAGGCTGCAGCCGAAATTTGTCAATTCGAAATTTGGCTGTCACTTTACCGGGGGCTGCGGCTGCAATCCTTCTGCCTGGAGGATTTGCTTCAGGCCTTACTCCGTACAGGTGGCTCCATCTTGAACACGACGTCAACTCCGCGCTGGGAGAGGGTTCTGGGTAGGAAGTGAGGAGATGCTTCTTCGTTTTAGCGTTGTTGGCTGTTGCCTTGGTAAAGTAGACAAGTGGAGAGTATGAAAAGTGAATGTCGACATCTGTTTAAGCATGTCGGATGTGAACTCCGTTGAACGGTGGACTCGCTGAGGTTTGCAGGGTTGGCCTCCATCGTTCAGGTCTGTCGTGTGGTTTCTGAGGAATCGACTGCTGGGTTCTCGTATGTGACTACAACCCCATCATTATTGGTATTTGAACTTCCCGAGCACCTGGAATCAATACATCTTCCGATCTGATGGGTTGAGGAGGAGGTCTCGTTGGCCGCGAGCAACTCGACCTCAAAGCTGGCGATGAAACTCTGTAATATGCTGTGATTGACCAGTTTGCCGCGCAGACTGCGTTGGCAGCCGGGCCATTTATAGCGAGTGCCTCAAGCGGCAATTTCGCAGCGATCAGTGGCTTAGACTAGGCCAGGGCTTCCCCTCAGGAAGTATGGGCTTGGCGGCTACCGTTACATCTTTCTGCAGCCCTGATACGAGTCTATCGAAAGCATGAGTTGATGAGGCCGTTCCTACATGAGATGGCAGGGTGCCATTGGCAGCTCAGCTCTACTGCGACTGTGTCAGTAAGAGACTGGGAGCCAGGGAGAGAGGCAAAGTTCCAAATCTCACTTGCATCTCGCTGGCCCTGCCATCTCAACCTCCCCAAGTGCACGGCCGCTGGCAGAGTTATTCGACCGCCTTAATGGGCTGCCTAGGCCTACCAGGTCATCTTCTTTTCGCCCTTCCGCACCCCCTAGCTAGCGGGCGCAACAGCGCCAAGGATCATGACCTTGCCCGCTGGACACCATCTCGTTGCCTACGAGCTTTGATGGGGGATCCATTGACACAGCTTTGATGCTGCTATTCCCATTGGGGAAGTGTTTTTCGATATGGAGTGCTCGATTCGAGTAAAGAGAAAACCAAAGTCCCTATTCCCAAGCCCACGAGCGTCAATGGTGCTGCCCGCTCATAGTGGGACGGGCAAGGGTGAGGAACATGACTTGATTCTTGCTTTTCTCCAACAGGTCGATCATTCAACACGGTCTACGGAGCCTTGGAGGATCACTTGCCATGTGCGTCTCCCCTGCTCTTGAAGGTTGATGAAGGCAACGAAGGATGGGCCTGGGCCTTGATAATCTGCTTGCTGCTGGTCCTTCTCTTCTGGGTGTTGTAAGTGTATATCTTGGCTGCCACCCCTCCGAACCAGCTCGAGATGTGGTCCTTCAGAAATTTTGCCTTCTGAGTTCGTGCCCTTTCACTACATCGTCACGGTCAACTTGGCACTCTTGATCTCAGTCATTACTTAATACACAAAGCATCTATCCATCGAGTCGATTAGTGGTGGACAGAGACGAGGGGCGTATCACATCATTCCATTCAACAATGCCACCAAGTTCACCGGAAAGACACTTGGTCGCACCGGACAACAGCAACATCGCTTCCAGACAGGCATCCCAAGACTCGGACCGCGAAGTAAAATACCAGACAGGATTGATGCCCGCCGAATATGCGGGCCTCGAGGTGGCCTCGCCCTCACCGGGCATGAAGTACTACCAGCCTGCGCCGGGCGCCGCCCCCGAACCGGTACCGGCACCTGTCCCAGGCGGATACGCGCCGTACCAAGATCAAGATCAGCACAACGGCTCCGGGTACGAAAGCCACCAGTACCCCGCACATTCAACGGCCGGAATGGGGTACGGCGGAAGCCAAGCGGGGATACCGCCAAAGAAGAATAAGAGGATATGGGGCATCCCGGTGGCGACGTTTTGGGTAGCTATCGTCGCGTTGGTCTTCTTTCTGGGGACGATTGGGGCGTCTGCTGCAGCGGGAACGATCGCACAGGCGCATGCGGCGTATGTGCAGACGTGCCAAGCGTAAGTGAACATGAACAGCCAAATTTTGGAAGCAACAGAGTCTGACACCAGAGCAGCAAACTCGAGCAATCATCATCTCCATCAGCGTGCGCTTCGAGCGGATCATCAGCAGCATCCGCATCGCCATCAGCCTCGGGAGCCTCAGCACTCTCAGCATCCGCCTCAGCAACAGCATCATCAGCGTCCTCCACTTCGACCTCACTCGCCTATATCCCGCTCCCAGGCCAAGCCTCCTCGATCCTGGGCGAAGCGACAACGAATTGCCCCGATCTTAGTTCAGAGAACAAGACGTACACAGTGCCGAACTCGAATCTGCGCTTCGTGCGCGAGTGCGGCAACAATTACCCCATGAACGACCTGGGCCACATCCCGCTGACGAGGATGGAAGACTGCATGAACCTGTGCGCGGCACTTGCTGTCACGACGCAGAGCGCTGATGGGCCATGTGTGGGTGTGGCGTGGGTTACGGCGGGGAAGCAGGGGACGGATGAGAATTATTGCTGGTTGAAGAGTGCCAAGGGGGCGCCGGATCCGAAGGCGAATATTGAAGCTGCGTGGCTTGTGAGGACGTGAGAGAGGTGCGAGGCGGTGATGAGTTAAACTGGTGAGTGAGACGAGCAAAATGTGATAAGAATGAGATGAGAATGAGATGGGATGGGATGGGACACTTCTGAGCGGCGTTGTCGTCGGCATACTCTAATACCACGATTATCATATTCATCTCTGGCAATTAATACTCCTACGATATCTTGAACGAAATTCAATGTTAGATACTTGTAAGTGGATAGACTGAGTTGAGCAGATACTTCCAGGCTTGAAGATTTCACGGCACCAATCAATCATACTTTGACTACGCTCGAAAAGATGGCGGCTGCATTTGAGCGTGCGGAGGCTGGGCGAAGTCGGGTTTTCTTTGTATTTCATGTGAAGACCTGACATTGCGCTCATAGGAAAAACACGGCTTCAGTCTTCCACAATCCATTTCGAGCCCAGAGGAGACTGCTCATGAAGAAATCTCGGATGCGCCGGTCTCAACTCCGGCCAGTCGGGACCAGTGGCCGGGCCCTATTCCGTACATAGTATTCCGTAGTGAGTTTGGCGTTGTTTTACGTGGTTGCACCGTGATTAAAGGGAGAGAGAGCACGGTTAATTAAGGTTTCCGTCAGGGGATCAGGGGGGATGACTTCACCAAACGCGTCCATCCTTATAGATGCTTAGGTAGCGACGCGACTCAACTTACCTGAAATAGTTTCAATGAGCACTTCATCAATCAGCTTCGTCGAGACAAACCTAGCCTAAGAAACTTGCCGTCTCGCAAATTCTCTGATTCATACACCTGTTCTTCAAACTTTCAAACACCCAGCCAACCCCTGTTGGCGTTCTTACGATGCATGCGCGCTCACCTACTGTGAAAACTCATCGTGGGCCAACGCCACTGAAGCTCCCATCACTTTGCCACATCCCCTTGATTTCAACAACTTTCATCACCAAAGCTGGCCACCAAGCTCGATATATGATTTGTCAGTCTCTCATAAGACTTGGGCAGTATTGATAATCACCTCTCTACGTACTCATTGCTACTCAATCATCGAGCCGCCTACACTACAATTGCCCGCCCTTCCCGAATCGCCACCCAAGCAACATCGCGCTACCACACCTTTGTGCATATTCAAAGACTCGCAAGGTCTCTGAGCTTGGTTCACGATGGTTTCTAAGAAACCCGGCAACAGCCGCGAGGCTAACCGCAATGGTTTAACCTCGAGCGGCGGTCAGGGTCTTTAGTTAGCGGCAAAGGTGTCACTAAAGGCAAGGGCAAGGACCGACGCAATGAAATCAGGAGATATGAGAACGGTCGGAACAGGTTGGCCAAATTGGCAAAGTCTCCGGAGGGACTTGAATATTAGCTAGCCGAGGAGAGACGGAAAGAAGAGGAAGCGGAGAGAAAGAATTCACAGGAAGCGAAGGAGGCCGAACGTGGCAAGTTCGCGTTCCAAAGGTGTCTCAACCTCGACCGACAAGCAGTCGATCCAGCATCTCTACCTACATACTCACTTGAGACTCCCGTATGTTTCTCGCTTTGGTCGACCAACATGTGCCAGAACTGGGGTCTTGTCGACATCCACAACGGTGTTCTCTGTCTCGAATGCGACCACCTCGCCACGTTCCAAGCCGGCGGGCAGATGTGTAGAGGCACCATCAATTGGAATAAACGGCCGCTGAAGATCATAATGTTGCCATTTCCATATCCGGACGTGACATATCCCCCCAAGTCGCAGGAAGTCTTTTCTCTTGCTTGCGCGGACGGCGCGGCTCTGGGCGAAATCCGCGATGAGCACTGTACAGCATTCATCTGTATCTACGACAGGGAACGATTGAGGTTGACCCTGCACAGGGAAATCATCAACCCGTCTGTCTTCACCAGCAGATGGAAGGATCCTCACCATTTCACCACGGAATGGGCCAATATTTGGGGTCTAAGGATAGAGACAGGCCAGGTCCAGAGCGCCCCATTAGCCACGCCCAGCATTTTCAGGGGTCAAACCTCTAAACCATTAAAAAACGAGAACAGCTTTCCGTCCGGCAGCACTAGCCTTCGAAACGTGAAAACAGAGCACTTTGAAGAAGATCAAGTTTATGTTGGCGAAGAGGACCAGGCTCTTGTTAAAGATGAAGACCAGGCTCTTGTAAAAGATGAAGACCAGACTCTTGTAAAAGATGAAGACCAGACTCTTGTTGGCGAAGAAAACCATATTTCATTCCATGAAGTAGATCATGTCCCTGTTGGCAGAGGGGACAAGGTTCTTGTTGACGAGGAAGACCACATTTCATTTCATGAAGAAAATCAGGTCTTTATTGATGAAGAAAGGGAGCAAGGGGAGGAGAAGAAGGAGGAGGAGGAAGGATATGAAGAGGACAGCCATGAAGAAAGTTATCAAAAGGGCTATGAGGAAGATTACGAAGAAGACGAGGATGACCCTGATGCGAAAGAGACTGATTCAGACTATGGGAATGAGTTGTACGATCTCGATGATATGAAATCTTGCCTTAAGGAACCGCCAATACAACGCCTAGGTGTGCCCGGATCCCCCGCCGCTTCTTACGTGGTGAGCTGGGGTGAGCATGGGTGAGCGGGGTGAGTGGGTAAGGAATCGGGTTATGGGAACGAGGTCACTGTCATCGACAGTTAGATGATTACTAGCTTTGCGTAACGATTGTATGTCTGTGTAATGGTTTTTAGTACTGCGAAGTACGGCTTTACCAAATGAAGTTAAAGAGCTATATGGGACTTCGGAGGCGCAGTCCTCTCGCCCAATGAAGTCCTAACACCACCTTAATCATGAGACTACTTGCTAGGCAGCAGCGCGGCGGTCAACGTTGCCTACACAATGTATCGTTCAGGGTTCCTGTTCAATTTGAGGTCAGCATTGGCAAGTCTTTGAGCGATCTTCAAACAACCACCGTCGAGACGATGTTCCTGCAGTTAAAGGAGCTGTTTCCCCTGTTGTGCAAGCATAACATGACATTTTATGTATACAGGTATATCATCGAGTATGTTTTTCAGGGAACTAAGTCTCACATTCTATCAGTCCCTCAGCTGGTGGTCTTTTCTCAGGGCACGAGGCTTCATCAGGCCGGTGGAAGAGTGACGTAAGTTTCAATACCATCGTAATCTCACTTACTCTAACGAGACAACAGAACTTTATCGGTAAGGTCTATACTTATATGTACCGGAAACCTCTGGTTCGTTTTACGGTGTCTACGATCCTTAAGCTTGCGGAGAAGTGTGGTATTAGCGGACACGTAGCCGCCATGCGATGGATAGCATTCTATGGTAACTTGGATGTAGCATATGGCGATGCGATTATCTTTGGTGTTTTTAAGGTGGAGCAACTCTACTCGATACTTAATACACTTGAAGCTGGTCTTCTTCCCGAGGATCTGGCGGCTGCTATTACTGCTGTCTACTCTATAATGCAGGGTGCCGAGCCTCCTTATCACCTCTAGAATGTATTCAACTCAATAGTGGTTCTATGAGGAGTTCATGAATATTTAGAATCTTGAGTTTTTTTCGATCAATCTTACATCATCTTGAACCAGTGTCGTACCATTTGAACTATGAATCCTGCAGGCACATTCAACTTGGACAACCGCTAGCAATCCAGCAGAAATCTCGGCGCTATTTACTCAGGCATAATGCTTGATCTGCTGATTGTTCTCCGTACTATCTAATTTAGATACTGCAACACGCATTTAGGACACGAATCCGTAACAGATCCGTTCTGGACCCGTTATCCATCTTATGCTGACATTGTCATTAGGTGGAATCGTGAATTTGAATAATTCTTGGACCGTTTGGTTACCTCCGTGGGTTGAAGCATTTTTCTGATTGGTTCACTGTTTCACTTGGTTACATCGTAAACAGTGCAGCGCTATGTAATCTCAGCTGGGCTTGACTCAATGAGGTTTTCCTCAAAGGAGCATCGGTGGTTGAATATCCCTCGCGGAAATGCGACAGCAGCGTCTGTCAGTACCCCTTCCGGGCTCGGCGGCTTGTGCGGTTTCAATTGACAAAGTAGTCGAGCGTCAACGCCTTCGTCTTCCCCGGGGTCTGCGGCGCGGGGGCCTTTGCCTCATGACCAGCTGACCAAATCATAGCTGTCTGAAGCACGGTAATAGGCGAGAAGGATTTGGGTGACAATCAAGTTACATCCGCATCTAAGTATGAACCGCATCTAGATCCATGACAGAGTGGTCGGCAAAGGGCCAAGTTGCGCGTAAGGGGCGAGATAGATACTTCAAGCAGGCATACACGGAACGCGCTAGATGGCAGTAGGATGTAATATCTGCTCCTTTTCAATCTTCCGATCGTATTTGGTGCATGCAATCTTGTCAGAAGACTATATTTTCTAGATGTGTAAAAGCTACCTATGCTATCGTCTGACCTTGCATTGTGGCGTTACAATTAAACTTGACAATGCATATCCTACTCGTTGGATGACACATCTTAGAAACAACGAATCCTAGGTTTGAGTTTGGAATACGGATGCCTAAAGCGGACTCCTTGGCCGCTTGTATAGACAATATTATATGTCAAATCTTCTACTTGCCATTAAACCATTGTACCTTAAAAAGTAGTGAGTGATAGCCTTCGGATTCTTCAACGACTCACACATTAAAACTCATTATCAGTATCACTCGCATTTCAAACGATCCGACCGACCTCCAGCATGCTTTCATCTGCTGTCTTCGTCCCGGCGCTGCTCGCCTACTTCGCACTGGCACAGAGTCAGACCGATTCCGCACCCGGGAACACGGCCACCTCAGTCCCCGACCTCGCCTCTAAAATCGGCCCTTGTGCGGCCGGCTGCCTAACCAAGGTCATTGGGCAAATCGGCTGTGGCAGTAACGATCTGAAGTGCCTTTGCGCTGATAAGGGAATCCTCCTCACCAGATTGGTGCTCTGCGGCTCGAGCGCTGGCTGTACGGTGGCAGACCTGTCTCGTGGGTGTTCCTTATGTCTTACATCTAATAGTTCGTTTACAGCCGAAGAATACTGTAGCTGACGTGGGAACATGGCTTCGATTAGGCGTCTCTGACGTTGTCAACCCGACTTGCAACGCCGTCAACCCCAACAACGACGATGACGAGGGAGATTCTATCAATGCTGTCGACCGTGTCAAGCGGAGCATGCCAGCGGCGCCTATTGCCGCGGCTGTTGCAGCCGCTGCCATTTGAGGGGGCTGACCGGAGAGTGTTTTCTTAATAGCATCATTACCTTGTGATGTCTAGTTGCTGGAGGTAATCTTGCTCCGCACCCAAATGGACAAGGAATCTTGTGCAAATCGACCAATTCTGTCACCATCAACGACGTCACCAGAATCTTGCTAGATTTCTTCAAAATGAATAAATACCATTTAGTTGCAGTCAGTTGCAAAGGTGACAATCCCTCGCAGGACTTCGGAAATTTGTGATCCGCTGTTACTCTCGATGGCTGATCAGGAGGGCCACCGCTCGAGTCCATCGTGGGAAAAGTTCATCGCTAGGTGAATCAGGACATGAAGAGATATGTGCTTGATTGACCTGCAAATCCTGCAGTTATACAAGTATTTACAGCTCGAACAGAACCTTTGACTCCGAGACATCCAGTCCGAATCCCAAAGGACCAGTCCCAAAGCGTGGTATACAGAGAAGAATAAGATACACAGACATTGGAGTCCTAGCGACCAAGTCAAACCAGCCTCCTTGAATTTTCTTCACCGTGAACAATAACCAAAGAACATCTTTAGCAGCCAGACGTCTTGACATCAGTCTGCACGCAGATCTTCGGATCATCAGCCGCATTACCAGGCTCGCCACCGCCAGTGACGCCCTTTGAGTTCTTGCACACCGTGGCACCGCCAATGACGCAAGCGCCGTTAATGGTAACCTTGTCGCCGAGGTTGCCGTTGTAGTGAGCCACAGTCTTGCCGCCGTCGACGTAGATGTTGTTGAAGACCGCAGTGCGAGCAGTCTGCTGCTTGCAGTTACCGCACGAGCGCCAGAACTGGCCGACGTTCTTTGCGTAAAAGTCAGAGACCTCGACCGTGCCGCCGCCGTTGTGCTGGAACAGCTTATCGGGAGCGTCGCGAGCGCCGCCGCCCTTGACCGTGGAGGTGCCGCTGGTCTGGCGGAAGGTGGCGCCGTCTTCGCAGACCTTGTCCCACCAGCTGTTTCTCATGTGTTAGTCTGTGGCTTTGGATCAAGATTTTGTTGGAGGTAAGATGATGACTTACACATTGACGAGGTTGCAGCTGCCCTGGCACTGAATACCCTCTCCAGCACCGGCTCCGATGATGACGTTGCTGAGCGTGGCGCCGTCGGCCAAGATGAAGGCAGCGTCCTTTTGTCCGCCCTCGCTGCCCGTGCATGTGCTAGGGACACGGTCATAGAGCTTCATGCCGCCGTCAAAGTTGCCGGAAATAGTCTTCGCCGCGGAGAGATTCTCTGTGCCGGCGGGTGTCGGGAAGGTCTTTACGATGCTGCCACTGCTGCCGCTGCCGCCGGAACCACCGCCACCACCGGGGAGAGTGCCGTTGTTGGCTGAGCTGCCGCCTCCGGTGCTACCACCGCCACCGGAGCTGCCAGTTCCCGAGCCACCAGATCCGGAACCAGAACCTGAACCTGAACCAGAACCAGAGCCCGAGCCCGAGCCCGAACCAGAGCCTGAGCCTGAGCCGGATCCAGATCCGGAGCCGCTGCCGCCCTTCTTCTTATCCTTGTTTTTGTCCTTGCTCTTGTCCTTGTTCTTGTCCTTACTCTTATCCTTGCTCTTATCCTTTGCCTTCTCGGCGCTCGATCCAACGTCTGGAGTGTCCTCGCAAGTTCCATTGTCACCCGGGTTGGCATATCTGATCTCGACTCTAGCGGGACCTTCGACGGGCGCACCGCGGGGTTGTTGAGGCGCCATGACGGCGCGGGCGAGATGACCAATGCCTCCGACGTGTCGGCGGGCCGGCCGCTCGTAGCCATCTGGGTTGATGGGGTTCGCGGCAGCCAGTGCGGCAAGGGAGAAGAGGACCAGCCGGGACGCCATGTTGATGATGGTGTCGGTGAAGGGGGTGGTCTTTAGGGGGTTTAAGATTGATGTTGTTGATAGTACCAGACTTTGTGTGTGAGAAAAGAAAGAAACACAAGTAACTACAAATGAGATGAAACAGTGAGAGTATGTAGGAGAAAAGGTGTGTGTTTGAAGGAGGGGAGTGAAGAGAATGTTTGTTTGGCGATGAGAAGCCTGATGTGGAGAGAAGATCTGCTCATAAACGGAGGACGAAGAAGACTGTCTTATATCTTGTCTTGAGGCTCACCAGCGTCGCGTAGTCAATGGCTTTTGAACCTGGTTGTTCTTCGCATCTGAGCATGCCCCTGTGCTCTGTAAATTGCAAAGTGATTTAGTATGGAGAAACCTCACCGGTAGCCCACCTGCAGATACAAGCCAAGATGTTTGGATATATTCGACGACCGCCTAGCCCTCTCCACAATCTTGCGTATATTGATGAGATCAGCAAGAGAGAACAACCTCTTGTGTGAGAGGTGGGCCAGTACTCTCCCTCTTCTTTTACGGAACGGACGGACATTTGATGTGCTCAATCCGTCAGGGTCACAGCTTCATTGCCCCAAAAAGGACATGGACCGGCGGCATCTCTCAACGGTAGGCACAAGAGAAGGAAGTGACAGTCACAAGGCAGTTCGAACTGGTCAGTGTTAGCAAGAATGTCAAAGTGGAACTCATTCAGGAACAGCTATGCAATATGGGTCGTCTGGTATAGATTCGACCGTCCGGGATGGCAGCTCCAGCGGGAGATGATCCGAGAGTTCATCCCGCCTGCGTGGTTAGCCATCACCTGGTATAACCTACAGTTTGGCTGTGTACCGCAGTAAAAAGAAAGATTAACATAAGGCCAAGGTGGGAGAGCGGAGGCGGGTTGATTGCACATCACATGTCAAACTTGCTAATGGTCTGGGCATTTTTGAGTTTGTAGCCCTTTGGGTGGCCGGATGGTCTTGGCCTCTTTGAGATGCTTTTGCTGCTTTTGCTGCTCGTCTCCAAGGTTCATGTCAAGTAGGAGTTGACGTTCCTGACAGGCTGACAGGTCTTTCTAGAAGAGGGGAGGGGGACCCCTCATAGGTGGTGGGGTTGCTTGAGCCAATCTACTTGACTCCTATCCGGTCAAGGGGTCAAGGTCGGGCGAGCCGATTAGTCTACGGATCCCGGAGATCTCGGGGCGGGCACGGGGACGGTTGCTATCCGTGCGGATGAGGGCGTCTTGTCGGGTTTCCTCCAGATTAAGGCAAAGCTCCATGCTACGCTGTCCGTACATGATGTTGTTAACTGATCTCTCTCCTGTTCGGAGTCTCGGTTGTGCGGAGCATGCCTGGGGTTGCGGGAGGCCCTCTTCTAGTATCCGCCTGGCTGGGCTCAATGCGACCTTATTTTGAGGCTTAAAGAGTCGCCGAGACGGGCTTATTTCTATTTTCAACGACGAAGGAAGGTTTGATATTGGCGATGTAAGATGCTCGACATCGTTTGTCGCTCACTCAAGAGCACGGAGTCCTCCCGAAGGTTGTTTGTTTGCCTCACTATTAGAGTTCAATCACGTAGTGTAAGGTAGCAAAACTCTGATTTCCCGCCCCGAAAGACTACTCTTTGGGACCTGATCTGCAACTCAGGGGGGCAGTGAGTTGGAGCGGGCAGCAAGCGCAAAAAAACCGCTGACTGATGCATCTTTGTGATAGAGTTCAGGCCGCCAAGAAACGCTTTGCGCGCCAAGACACCACAGACTCATGCGAAAGCAGCCCACGGGGCAATGATTTTGTTCCTGTTGACTCGCGAAAAGAACCGTTCAATATGTGCGAGACTCCCACCTCACAAGTCTGAGAAAATAACGAGACAAACGGCGAAATGAAGTTCAACTGATTCAAAGGAGTTGAAGACCCATCGTGACGTCTGCGGAATTGAGTTTGGCGCTGCGGTGTGGTGCACTTGCGCTTTCGCGTTCAAGCTCATGCACCAGCAGTACCCCATAACGGCTTCATATCCGTAATCTGACAACTGACGCACACTGACATACACATGGTAACTCACACAAACTTCCCGCGAAAGTTCGAGACTAGAACGACTCGTCCCAGTGGGCAATGACCTCCGGTCTCCCGTCAGTCTCCCGTTGTGTTTCTGAGCCAGAGAACCGCGGCTGGTGGTAAGTACGTTTGAGGTAGAGCTATAGCTATTTTTAAACTTTGATAGTAGTAGCCTGCAACCGCAACCGCAACTGCAACCTCGCACCTGGGACGCAAAGACACATGGCAGTGCTGGGTAGTGGAGCAACTTCGAGTGACCCATAGAACATCAGACTTGACTGTGTCCCATCAATACGACTTACATCAGACCAAGACATGGCAGCACGTGGGCACCCGCCTTCATTACCTCATGAAGAAGCAGTCTGGTTGCGCCGCGGGTGCCGAGTACGCCGCACCGCATGTACAATCCTGGACCAGCGTGGCCGTTAGTGTCAGGTTCGATATGATACCATTGACATTTTATGAACGTGCGCCCCGAAAGCCAATGCCGTGTCTATGAAGCTTGGCCAAGCCAAGAGAAACTGATCAGACTTTAATGATTAGGAGGTGAAGTCCGAAATTTGTTGATGCTTTGAATAAAACTTTGTTGTGTAGTATTAATCATGAGTACTATGTACCTTAAGCAAGTAAAACACGCAGGTATCTGAGCCGATGGCGCTTGCTCTCGTGCCATCGTTGATAGCGCTATCGGGAACCACGCTTGCTTCAATCTCAGATCTGGGTATCATTCGTAACTCCTTGGGCCAAACAAAACTCCCACTCGGCGGTACGAGTCGGCGACCGACTAGACCATGTCCTCGCCAGAAGGACGCCGGTCGCCTCTCGAGTGGTGAGATGCTACCGCCTTACGGGGCACACCAACACCTCGCGTATCCCTACTGCCGCTGGTATACCTTGTCCTGCTAACCATTCTGTCAAGACCAGTTTTCTTTTCCTCGCGTCTCTTACCCCATCCGGCCTTGCGTGTGACCACCGCGCCATTCTCTCCAATAGCCTCAAGGTTGAAGTCCAAAGGCATCTTGCGGTGGAGGGGAATATGATTGATACGCCAATCCCAGACGGCGGCGTAGGCCATCCTGTACGACGAAAAGGCAAAGGCAGTCCCGATGATGGCGCCCGCCAGAACGTCGTACCAGTTATGGGACTGGTCGACCGTTAGGGAGCCGCCGACCAGGGTAGCGAGGAGGATCGGAGCGTATACGAGGACAAGCTTCCACATGGGCGTGTGATGGTTCGAAAAGACCTTGAACTTGGCGTTGAGGTAGAGATACAGAAACACCATGCCCGAGAACATTGCAGTCGTATGCCCCGAGGGAAAAGATTCCATCGCGTTGGAGAGCGTGCCGTCCATCTCCCTGGTGCAGATATCCGACGTCCACATGATGCCTCCATAGCCCGTCCCGTCCAGGCCTGTTGCGTTCCCGCCCGGTTGGGAGGCCTTGCTAATGTCGGGTTGGCAGACTTCGAGGAAGTTAGGACGCAGGCCGCCGATAAGCCACTTGATCATGACCTGGAAGACAGTGGAGCCGATGACGGAGTAGAGCAGGCCCATGATGCCGTTGTTGATGTCCCAGAAGGAGCGCACCCTTATCTGGCAGAGGAGAATGGAGAGGATGGGCACGCCGATGCCGAGGGCGGTGGCGGCGTGACTGGGGATGTACTGCGGGATGTGCGGGTACGCGAATTGGGGGTAGACGACCTCGCCGTTGTCAAATGTGACGGGGAACGTTCGGTGTGCTGGCGGGTGCGCTCTGAAGACCTGGATATGTGGTGTTAGCTGAATGTCAGAGGTCGGATGCGAGGTAAGGTGCGTACCACTAAGGCGATGACTCCCATGATGATCATGGTGAGGATGTCTAGCCATGTCACCTTGAGCCAGAGCATGAAGGGCGGCCGGTGAGCCATGCTGTAGTCTTTTCCATGCCAGTGATCATTGACTCTTGTCTCCTGGCTACTTTTGCGATGTGTCGGAAGGGTCGTGGTGTCTTGCCGACGACGTGCGAAAGGGTTAAAGCGAGCCATCTTAAGAAGCAATGTTGCTCTCGAGGTCTGAGAATAGATGCTATTAGGTGATACTCGGGACCAGGAGGGGAAGAGGATGGTGGTGTATCCACCGAGTTGAGTCTTGACGATATCCTAATGGAGTCCTCTCAACCAAAATATCATGCGGAAGAGAAAGACGAGGTTGTTGCCCAAGCAGTGAAGGGGGAAACCTCCAGGTAATATGCCAAGCGCGCTTTCTCACCATCACTGCCATGTTCATCATATCCTTGGCAGCTGCATCACCACAAAACAGACAATACGTAGTGCAAGTCGTACTTGACACAGGCAGACAACACACACAAAGAGAGCACAGAAACAACACATCGCTAAAGAGAGCCAAGAGACTCGAGAGTCCAGGCGCGACGACGCGCTGCCAAGCCACTTCCCGTCCCTCTTGACGTCACCGAGAGTGCGACGGTGTAACTCTCGACGGGCCAGACAGCAGCGCGACACTCGCCAAAGGCACAGTTTTGGGGGCAGCTGGGGGCTGAACTAAAGTTGATGACAGGGGTCATCTGCAGCTCTCGGAGATTCAAAGCCACTCAAGGCCTGCCAAAAAGGCTTGGCTGATGCTGTTTCTTCCCAGCCACAGCAAGAAAAAACCAGGCGCATGACCTGGCTTTTGTTGGAATGAGGAATTGTGTCGTATGGACGGAAATGAAGCTTTGGGGACAATGTCTTTCCTTTTGCGCTAGAAGGTAATGGTATGAGGATTGAACGGAGTATGGTCGGTAATGTAGAGGGTTTGGGGCATGCGATGTGAAGGCGACCCGTTGCCGCGATTCTCTCATTCAATCTTTGATTCTTTATTCAGAGTCTCTGAGGTACTAGATTGGACGATCTCATTCAACGCATGTCTGAGTAGTCTACTGAAGAAAGATGTTCCGTCGGTTTTTAGACACTCCGAGCCGCGATGTTGTCTGTAACACAACCCAATCAACTTGGAGCATTCTCCTAAAAACCTGAAGAGAAGTCTTTTGATATATTCGGCTTTGACTCTGTCAGAGACTGTCTCTTAGGGAATCAACTACGCTCTTTGTCCTCTGACAAGACAAGCAAAGTAGAGTCTGGCAAATTTGGCAGAGAAAGGGTGCATCTCGCGTCAGATCATACGGCCCCCTGTTCCCGGCCCCTACATGTACCTTCGCTACGTTATGTCTGGCATGGCGCTTACCCCGTCGACTGGGGAACAGTCCCAATGCGGATATCTCCATGTTTTCTTCAAATGCGCTCTGAGCTAAGGTGACGCGTACGGCAAACGGGGAATAAAGGAGATATTATCAAGTTAAGCACTACTTTTCTCATGATCATCTATGTCCTCAAGATAGACGAGTACGTACTTGAATATAAGTTTGCCAGTTTGTAATCGAGACGATCAGGCGCGAACATAAAGATTTCTTGTCACGTTGACTTCTTGGCTAAGTTCATAGCCCAGCTCTGAATCAATCTGCAGTCATGAGGCCTTCGATCTGAGGGTTGAGGTTGTTGCTTGGGTGTCTGGCCGCATGTTCCTAGCACCAACTTTTACGTGGGAGCAGAACAATAAGTCTAGTACCGCACACCAACAAATAGCAGGCTTTCAAGAAGACTTCTCAGAGTTCAATGCTAGTCGTACCTCAGTTATATGCTAAGTGTGCTTTTAGCATCATTGTATGCAATTACTAAGTGTACTATACCTATGACTTACACGTGCGAGCACGATGCATCCACGAAATTCAATCTGATTCTCGGAACCACAACATCGTAATGCACAACACAGCCTAAATATCATACCTTCACCTCCTCCTTCGCAAAAGCCGTCCTCTTCATCAAACTCTTCTCATCCTCACCAGCCTCAAACCTCTTGACCATCTCCTCAGGATCGAACCTCGGCCCCCTGGGATCCTCCCCAAACTCCGCGCTCGTCATATACGCAACAGCGTCCTCCTTCGTCTCGAAGACATCTACTTGCGTCTCAATCTTGCCGCCGTCCGGATCGCGGTAGTACATACTAGTCGACATGCCGTGGTTGACGCACCAAATAGGTTCAATACCCAGATCTCTGCGAGCCTTGTAAGACTGCAGCAGGTCGCCGAGAGAGTCAAAGGTCAGGGCGAAGTGATCCATGCCGACAGTGTTGTCCTGTCGCGGGACGGCGGTGGGGTCGTTGAGGATGGCGAGGCGGTGGTGCTCGTGGTCCCATGTGAGGAAGGTGATGAGGGGGCTTGAGGCGGTGATTTTTGCATCGAGGAAGGTTTGATAGAAGGAGACTAGCTTTTCGGGGTTGGCTGTGCGGAGGACGAGGTGGGCTAGTTCGGAGGGTTTGCAGACTCCGGTGGAGGCTTTGATCGCCATGTTGTCGTGTTGTGTTGGTTTGTTGTGAAGGTTTTCCCACGGTGGATCTGGGGATGTAGATGATGTTTGGAGGATCTGCGGATGGATGGTCCGGGGAAATCGAGAGTGAGATTTGCTGTGGGGTAGCTCGATATTTAGATTCTACCTTACCTTAAGCTGAGAGTGCACGACACCCGAAGGAGCTGATCCATCGTCATACCTTTGTGGAACGTAGTCAGTCTCGTGGCTCGCTCAGTATGGCTCCATGTCTGCTTACGAATAGCATCTCCGAGTGGCTTGTTGCATCCAATATCCGGTGTCACAACAGTCCGTGTACACATGTGTACGGGTGCGCCACTTCGGAGATTTGGCGTCAAAGGCCGTTGCCGTTGGACGAGTCGGGTGGATGAGGACCCGGACCGGACGTCCGCCCGTAGTCGTACAGCATCTCTTTGAGCCAATAAGACGGTAAGGAATTTGTCATGTCCTGTGACTGCGACTCGGGGCGTTTTTCAGACGGGATGATGGGATGCTTTTGGGACAAAGATAGGAAGGGGAGGGACATTGGGGCCGAGCTTTGGCTTCTCGGCGGTGAATGGGCCCCGATTGTCCGTCAACGCATGGCGGCGGGGTAGGGAAAAGTGCCCATCTGTACTTACGCTGTAGCTGACACCGATGACGCAGCAATTACGATTTTGAAGAAAGTAAGTCTGGAATGAGGATGTAAGTGTTGACTACCTTGCTCATTGTCGCAAGCTTGCAGCATCCACCAGTCTTGAATACCGAGGGGGGCGTCGGCGTGGCTCCGGGGAGCGCAACCAACGGAGCCACGGGACACCGTTAGTGGACCCGCCGTGCCGTACGGGACAGAAAGCCGCTAATCGCCCGACTTCGGGACTCAAAGTCCCGAAGCCGACTGCCCACCGTACACCACACAGTACAAATCCCGAAGAACTCCACTGCCGCGCGGAACAAGAAGCGGGAGACGAGCTTTTTGGGTCTCATTACGCGAACTCAGCGGGGCCTTTAGTCCAGAAAGAATTGCCAGCATGGGCTGTGCAGTTTGTCTGGTCGTTTCTCTCCTGCGGATCGATCGCTGGGTCAACTTGTGGCGGAATGCCTTGCTACCAGACTCGAACTTCGACACCCCGGACACTCGCCGCCAGGCCAAATACCGGACCATGACCCGACGCGAACCAGTACCATGGGGTCTGGAGGCCAAACAGGTTACCGCCAACGTGTCGCGGTGGGTTATGGAAGCCCTTGCTCTCGTCCCCGCGGGAATGCCGCCTGCATCTTTCACTCTGATTCTTGACGGCCAGCCCACGCCCCAGTTGTGCACGGAGATACTCCAGATGACGAACCAGAGAGATATCGCGTGGCAAGCGGCCTGGTTTGCATCGGTGTACCAGGGCATCGTCCCGCCGACGGAGTGGTTGCTCACCTGGTCCATCATGTCCAACAAGCTCCGAGTCGCCCGCAGAACCGGATATTTTTACCGAGGATTCCCTTCCCTCGTGCCATGAGGGATATCGTTCAAGGGACGCTGATTGGGAGGTGCAACTTTGACCCGGGCGAGCTGTGGAACGTCGACCGGTTCGTGCAAGATCACCGGAATTGGACTCCGCAGCAGTGACAGGAGGCGTGGGCCGACCACGAGCCAAAGACGTGGTTTCCCGTGGCGCCGCTTCCGTGTTTTCAAGCTCTGCTCGAGAAGGATCTGGTGCCGCGATGCGGCAAGAAGGAGAAGTTGTCGAGATCGCGGCGATCGAGAGGGACTACTCACGACGATGGTCACGTCGCGTCTGCGCCTCGTTGACGAGACGTAGGTTATGGGGAGAATCTGATTCTGAAGTGGTGGATGCACCGGAACGATGCGTTGAAAGGCGATTAAAGAGAACCTGAGACTTCGTCTGGTGCTCAATGTAGTCATGAGTGTGGGTCAGATAGGTGCTGTAGTTTCGTCGACTGCCGAGGGATCGCCGTTCTGCGGTCGAAGGTCTCGATCCGAATCTCAACGTCAAGATAGATGTCTTAGTTATCCGGTCACATGACAGTAAGATCATGTTGTATGTAATAAAACAGAGATTGTCGCTCAAAGCAGTCGTATAATTCCCCGTTTCTTCAGCATGTATGTTTCTGGACGAAACGAAACGAAACTTGGGCTTGATATAAATTCACATTCCACGTCAATTTCAGAAAACTTCCTTGCATCAAGTTGCGGGCCGCTGGAAGACCGCCAGCCACCTGGAGAATGCGGCCGCCAGACGTCATGTACAGCAGTATCACTCCCATCAAATTCGACTCACGGACATGGTCTCGGCGGCTGGCCTTCGTCATCCTCTGTCCACCAAAATTCAGTCTTCTTCTGGATGCCTGATCTCAGCGGGATTTCACTATCTGAACTCCTCGTCTCCGACCCTCTTCGACAAGGTGACCCAATCATCGTCGAAGGCACTTCAAAGCGGTCGCCTCGGAGCTTGCTACTGAGATACTCAGACTGCAACGGGTCACATCTGCCCGTTGACTCTGGAAGTGTGTGCTGCGCTGTACCATTGCTGAAGAAGTGGACGTAGATGGACCTTGTAAGAGCGAGGTTTGCGGCGATGATACCCAGAAACAGTTCGAGATTCGACCAGATACCGGCGACACAGTATGCCCCTGCAAGACAAACGTCAGTCTTTATTTCGGTTCGTTCCGTCGATGGTAGGGGAAATTGAACGCACAACTCAAGTCTGAGGTGGATATTCCCAATGACGCTGCTCTAGCGACGCCGAACCCGGTCGCCCTAATATTCAAAAAGATAGGATGTTAGGTGACGTGATGTCTTTTCTGGACATGAAACTGGAAGATGTTTGGGAGGAGCTCACACAAGGCCCAGCCCCATCAAGCAAGAGACTGATATCTTCGTCTGTCGAGGGATCTTCACATTCCAAATCACCACAAGAGGAAGTAGTGAACAGATGAGGTCCGTCAAGACCGAGTATGCTACCAACTCTAATCAATGATGAGACCCCGAGGCTTCCGGAATATTTTGATCATACCAATCGTCGCATAGATGAAATATATGCGGATGTGTGTTGGCCAACACACGGCTGACTTGCCCCTCCAGAAGCCGACGGGCTGACACTCGGCTATCAAAATGATCACGACTCCAAAATTCGTGATGAGGACACCAGCCATTATGACATGCAGTAAGCGCTTGAGCACCTTGGTATCTTTGATGCGAAGGATCAAGAGACAGATTGACACCTTCAGAAACGCCACAGAGATGAAGAGCAGCATTTGTCCCCACCAGCCGTACATGTTGATCATCATGTAGTCATGGTCGCTGAGATAGACTCGGTGTCTGCCATTTCCGTGTTTCCACTGTAAGACGACGAAGGCGAACCGTATGACTGCCGTTGCCCCTGCGAGAGCGATAGTCAAGTCGTCCCATCCGAGCTTCCTGTTCGCTACTCGCACCCATAGTCGGAGGCCGGTCGTGATGACGAGGAAGGTTGTCAGGGCGAGGGCGAGAGCAAAGGAGATTGGACCGACGTCCTCGTTCGGCGGTAGTGATTCATTTCGAGAGACTACGCTCATCGTCGTAGGTAGCTGCTGTCTGGAGAAGTCCGTTTATGCAAGTGGTATCGTCGAGATCGGGTTTCAAGACCAGTGGCACGCTGTCGTGGCGTGTCTGAGAACACACATGACGCAGGAAGATGCCGCCTTCTCAGCAATGGTCAGATGCCAGTCATATAAGTCAGTTTTGTCGTACCATAGCTTCGCACTGTTTGGGCATTTTGTTTCAAACAAGCCTGCCGCAGAACCCATCAAACAATTCGTCCGCATATTTCAAGGAATCTGCAAAAGTCTGTGGCGCCCGGATGGTGGCTCTTCGCATTCCCCCCAGATATTGCTTTACCACTCGGCCGGCAATGTGACTCAGGCATGCAGAATCGACATTAAACTTCTCGTGCCTGGTTCTGTGAATGTAAAGGGATGGCAGCAGGACAGCCGTTTGGAATGCGGAACCCGCTCCGCTCCCGTGCAACTTCAACTTCTCGAGACCTGGGAGTCAAGGGAGTGTTTGCGCAACTTTGATTACACCTTGGCTTCCGCCTCGTTGGGTTTATGACTCGCATCCCCACACTTTTGGCTGGGCATTATTTAAGAGAAAAAATGGCAATCGCAAGATTCAGATCATCAGAGATAATTCAACTCCTTGTACAGATAATCTTCTCATGGGCTCAAGGTCGTGCTATGCTTGTGATGGAAGATGCCGATGTATCTCGAACTGTGAAGGCTGCTGATATGTGTGCCGAGAGCTGGGAATGAAGCTTCAGTTATCGAGCAATGTTGAGTGTTGACCAGAAGAATTGCTTCTCGGAAGTCAAATATTCATGTTCTCCCAAGCTCCCACTGACAAAGATTATCTAATCCGGTGTTAAGGTACCAGGTCTTGAATCCAGTCAGCTTGGAAGTCCGATAGCGAGGCCTTCCTGGGTCGTGGTGGATAAGATCCTGACCTGGCGCTCAGGATTTGTCCCGTGTACTGTCGAGATTGTCCATGTCAATCCCCCGTTACGTCTCCAGTTTTGTTTTAGCAGAGGATCCTGTGCCTACCTGTGCTATACAACGGCTTTTGTTCGGACAGAATCCTCTCAACCCCTCAGCGTGAGGCCAAAAGATGAAAAAGCAGCGCGACTGCAGTTTGGACAGTACTCCGTAAATTTGAATGTTATGGCAGAAGTGAATAGTCTAGTCTTTTCCATCGCCGTAGGTACCTGTCCGTCTTGATTGTAATCATTTCATCGCGGCGGGTCGAGTCTTCAGCAAAGCCCATCAACCCCTTTACCACGCCATCTTAGCGCCTTCTCGTGCAACCCACACAACCCTTGTCCATGTAAGCGAACATTGAGCTAGCGGTAGACCTTCTTCACACAGATGCCGCTGTCGCTCCCGGTGTGGAAATTCGTATTGGAGTGGGCGGAGGGCACGACCGGGGTAAACTGCCGATGCCCTGCTGCAAAGTCCGAGGAACCCCGCCCATCTCGCAACAACTTGGAGAGACTGCAGAGCCAGGCGTCAGGACGATGCAGATTCAACGGTTGATGGTACGCTGCGGATAAAGTAGGCACGGTAGGTTGCATCAAGGTCACCGGCGACATTCCATCTCTATCTGAGGAGGGTTCTCTAGCGTTGCAAACTCAGCCGTTTTCACCCCGCCCGGAAGCGAAGAGAACTTTCACCCTGAAAGCCACCCACCCACGTTTCCTCGGATAGTTCATCTAATCGTCTTCGATGTCGCGCTGGGTGTGCAAGGGTTGATTCCCCGTCTACTAGAACGCCCGGTTGAAGTGTGCCCTGACTCGCTTCCATGGGTTGTGCGAAATGAGTTGATTATTTTGTCCAACGTTTTGCAAAGCCACATGAACTACCCTGGGCCCCAAAGTTCTATTGTACAAAAGAATGCCGGAATTCTGATCCAGAACGCCCATCAAGCGTCTAAGCCCTTGCAAAGGACGGATTCAGTAGACTTCCCAAGTGGTGTTGGACATCCTGATCGCCGTCGAGACACACTTCCAGCGACGTTGGTGCCGCCGCCCAGCCCGACAAAGTGTGCCGCTCACAACCCTATGCGCCATCTAAACCTGCATGTCCGCGTAGCTCGCTCGATTCAAACCAGACTCTTACCTCGTTCAAAGGGACCTCGCATGAAGATCTCGATACATCGAAATGTTCCCAGTCGCCTCGATCCTGGCCCTGTACGTGGCAGCAGTGTCAGCAGCTCCTGGTCAGCCGACTGACAAGGCTTTCGACTACGTTTGTGCTCTCTAACCGATTACACCCACCCCGAATTATGATGTGAACTAACTGATGGCTCTACAGATTGTTGTTGGCGGAGGTACTGCTGGAGTCGCGCTGTCGACCCGTCTCAGCCGGGGGCTGCAGAACGCGACAGTCCTGGTCATCGAAGCAGGTCCATCAGGGCTCGGCGACGAGCGCATTGAGATTCCGGGTCGGAGAGGTTCGACGTTTGGGAGCAAGTACGACTGGAATCTCACTACTGTGCCGCAGGAGGGATCAAATGGCCGCGTCTGGGTTCAGACCAGAGGGCACGTCTTGGGTGGGAGCTCCGCACTCAACCTCTTCTCATACGATAGGGCGTCTGCGCACGAGTATGACGGATGGGAAGAGCTTGGTAACCCAGGGTGGAACTGGGACTCGATGCGCTCTGCCATGATGAAGTCTGAGAATTTTACCTCGGCCAACACTCAGTACTACACCGGGAGCGAGGGCGTTGGCAATGCTGGACCTATCAAGGCTCTGATCAACCGGCTCATCCCCAAGCACCAAGCCCCGCTGTTCCCGGTCATGAACAGCTTGGGCATCGAAACAAACCTCGAATCATTGAACGGCAACGTTCTGGGCGTTCTGTACTCGCCCAACAGCATCGAGCCGACACACTACAACCGATCCTACAGCGCAAACTCTTACCTGCCCTTAGCCGGTCCAAATCACTTCGTTTTGACAGATTCAA